AAAATATTTTTTAATGCACTTTTTTAAATTAGTTTATTTTTTAAAAAAATTAAATACTTATTTTATAAATTTATTATTTTTTAAAATTAAGTTAAATTACCAAAAACAACATTGAAAAAAAAAAAACACTATTTACATTTCAATGGCTATGGTTGTCCCGAACAAATTGTGTCAACATTTCCTATTCAGCATCTTTTGCTCTTCTGGGACCTTCAACAATATATCTAACAATGAAGGAGGGTGATTATCCTAAACTTGAGTAGTCTCTTTATTTTTTATAATTTTGATAAGACGATCCTACTTGTATAGACTTTATATCTTAACACTTCTCATAAAGTCTTATTGGTAGATTAACAACACATCAAAGGTAAATAAATAAAAGGGTCTCAATTCTATAATTGTCTAAAATATTATAGATAAATAGACTATTCAAGCTTTAGTTCAATTACTCTCTTTCTCACTGTGGGATTGTCATTCTTCAATTCTTTTAGAGTAAGATGAAGCCTGGCAATTCCAGAATTAAGATTACAACTACAACTTTGTAGGTAAAACAAAAATTCTTGCCAAGTTACTGAAGTATGATGGAAAAAAATAAAAATGTACACATTTGCAAGCCATACCCGAGGGAAGTGTTCACCAACTTATTGAAGGAGTCACTACAGGTAAATTAGGTCACTACATCCACCTAAAACCTCTTAAGGTAAAAGGTGGTGGGACATCATCCATTTATATACTACTCACCTTCCCTAGGTATTAGACAATGCATAGCCTCTTTTTCTAAGTCACTACAAGTGGACTAAGTCACTAGATCCACCTAAAACTGTAAGATAATAAGTGGTGTGACACTAGCTTTTATACACTAGTCATCTTCTGGAAGTTTCCAATACTTGTCAAATATGTCCTTTATTCATCCTTTCTCTAGCATAAGCCTTTCTTTAACATCACACGACTCTCTCAAGTTTAAGTTTCCAATACTTATCGTTAAATATAAGTCCTTTATCCATCCCTTCTCTAGCGGAAGCCTTTCTTTAACATCACAAATATGGTTTAGTGTTACAAACATCAGAGTTGTTTGATGTTACAAATATTAGAGCCACTAATGCTTCTCTTGTATGGATACATGAATGATTCCTTAGTTCGAATCCATCATCGATGCAGTATGATTCCTTCACTTGAATCGATCACCAGCAAAGACTGTCAACATAATTAGGATTCCTTCACTTGAATCTATCACTAATGTATCAAGGGATTCCTGTGGCTCTGATACCTCTATTGGGTCAGAATAGAACAAATGAGGAGGGAACAAAGATAGTAAAAAACCAAAAAGTTCACACCAGAATTTATTCCAGATAATATATAATTTTGCATGCCAATTTCCCCAAGTGAAATTAACACTTAAATTCGGTAAAATTAGTAGTATAAGTGTTGCTCAAATGTATGCAAAACTACGGTTTTCTAGCTAAATACTTAGTCCCACATTAAACAACAAAAGGAAGCTAGAGCGATAGCTGCAGTACTATATAAACCGACGCTTGCACATAGATTACCTCGAAGAGCTGTGTGGTGGGCACAAAGCGAACTATTCTTTCGCCTTTTACTAAAGAATACCGTGTGCTCGCCACTTAATGCGGCAAATGCTAATTTTTGAAAGGGACCTTAAGAGAAGGCTCCTACCAAATTCCAGTTTCAAGTAATTTGTTCATGTATAAATGAAATGATAATAAGAAGCATCATTGGAAAAGGGTGGCCATGGAAGATTGTTATTTGTACATAATATTATTAACAAATATATACATATACATGAAATGCACCACACCCTTTGTAAGAGAAGTTTAACAGGAAAGGAAAAGCTGAACAAACAACACTAGCACTAGCAGCTGCAAAGTTGAAGGGCTTCTTCGAACCTCTTATCTACAACAGAAGGATCAGCCACGCAGCGCGTCTGTGTTAGAATCATATTATTATCTGATCTGGCTTTGGAAATGGTATTGTATTTGGCAACCCATTTTGGTGCAGAGCCTTTAAACCACGAATTAGTTGATACAGATGATGAAGAGGGGGGAACAGTTACTGATGGGGTCTGTGTTTTGCCGGTGTGGCAGAGCAAGAGCATTGCTGCTGTGGGTGCCATTGATAAACCAAAGTTGTTTTAGACAGTGATAGATATCAAGTGCAGGAGAAATTAAGGTTTTGTGACTTCCTATGTATACTTATAGAGATAACGAGGATATGAGAGCTTGGCGTGTTTGGGGAAAAGCAAAAACAGTCTGTGGGCTGTACTTTACCAGTTTCTAAGAGTGATTGTTTAGAAAAGGGTGGAAATCCGATGAATTTAAAACCATGGACAATGGGAACTGTTGACTTGTTTTAAATTAAATAATTCTAAACTCTTTTCCTTTTGTATTTATAAATCGTCTTAAATATTAAATGATATTTATATTTTTAAGATAATAAATACTTGTACTTTTTATATTTTTAAAATTTTAATATACATTCTATAAAATAATAAAAAAAGTGCGTGAAAAATTCTTGTAAAGATATAGCAAAATTGTCTCAGATTCCTCTAACTTCTGTTGGTTTAATAACGAATGCCATAATAATTATACATAATAAATGAATATTCAAAATAATTTTTTTCCGAATTATATGATACGACTCTTCTCAGGAAAAAAAAAAAACGAAATTGTTTTAAGATAAAATATAATAAAACTCGACATTGTTGAGAAAAATAGAATAGTGAATAGTTAGACAAAAGCAACGGGCAACTTACACGCACACAAAAAAATGGTATAATTTCCAAAACGAATATTAAAACAGAATCCTATTTACATTCCAATAGCCATCATTGTGGGAAACAAATGGTGCTTGGATACTACGCAAAAGAATTTCTGCAATAAACAATATATTCAAAAAACTTTTCCTTATAATATACATTTGTGATGACATAGAACTTTTAATGTGAGGTTTGGACATGATTTTCTATATGTTGCTCAATCAAGCAATATCCCCCTTACTTTACAAAAGTTAGTAATGTGATATTTTTAAGCAAATCAACGGGAAGATGCCATAATAATTAAGAACACTGAAACACAATAATTCATTAATATAACCTAGAAACTTCAAGAAGATAACTTACAGAGAAATACTCGAACAAAGTATTCAACAGAGCTAATTCAATAATCCTCGCTTGAATTTTTTTATTTTTTTTCGGTTCTGAAAACACTTCGTGTTAATAAATGGAATTTACTTGCCGCAGACTTCGATCAATCAGAGTTTCCCAAATTTCAAGAAAAGATTTATATTAACTTTACACATCCAAATAATTCAAAAACTGCAATGATGATGTTATAATGTTATTGTTCATACACTTGCCTTATCGTAGGCTTGTTGGTATCTCAAGTGAAACAATTTAAATAATGTTGATTAAGTTATTATATTCTCAAGTACATCACATGTCTGATCAGTGATCAAAAGTAATATATACCACAAAAATTATTGAGATACAAGATCCGTTTAGCAATTGTGCAAATTCCATTAGCTATGACGTACCCGGAAACAAAATCTGTCTGTTCAGCCAGAACATATACTGCTAACTTACTATTGATGTCCAAAACAAAGGATTTTAATATGAGTCATAATTTCAATCTTTCTTGCAAATTGAATCATGTTCATTTCTTATTTATAAAAGATAACAGTTTATGTTAGGGGTGATTAAGGCAGAGCAGTTAAGAAATTTAGATCAAGACATCAAATTATCTGACTTACATTAGTCATCAATGTGCTCAACAAATAATAAGAAAATAAAATAAAAACTGCATAGGATATTGTATAAACATGTATAAAAAATGTACTAAAATTGATCTTTGAATTCAAATACCAACCCTATATGCATTTGATATGGTGTCAGTCATGAAATTAAGAATAAAGCCTCCCGCAAAAGTGCCTAATTTTCCACATCCGATAGTAATTCTTCTAAATATCATATCTGCATTAGTCTGCCAAAATAAATTGTCCTTAATAGTTAATATAATTATTAATATAGGAATAGTTCAGCAATAACATTGCATTTGACCTGTAAATTATAAATTACTTACCATATATTTATATTAATCAAGTCAACAAAATATTAAATGAAAGAAGGAACAGAGCTATGCTAATAAAATCTTATGCAAACTTTGAAACAAAGTCTCACCATGTGAGATATAGGGTCGGTTTCAGTAAACTTACAAAAAAAAGTTTGTAGGAGAAAAATAATTAGAATAAAAAATAAATTATTTTTTTCTTATAGAAATAATTTATATATATTTTTATTTTTAAAATATTTTTCTTGTTTAATTTATTTAAAATTTAAAGAGATAAATTATTTCTTATTTATAAAAAGAATTTGTTATTTTTTTATTGTTTTTTTTTCACTAATTTAAAAGTTTATTCAAACTACAACTAGCTTTCACGAGGTTGTATGCTGTGTAACTTACAGACATTCATGCAACACAGTTAAATAGAGACACGAATCAACAATATGAATGTTGAAAATATATGGGTGGAGTTATACGGGTTGTTATATTGTAAGTCAAGTTAGCAAGTTTTAATGGATAAAAGAAAGTACTCAAATTTAGAATTCAATTACTATTACTATTATCCACCAGAAGTGTATAAATTTGAAATTGTCAACAAAGGTATTCTGCAATTTACAATGAAGGATTTGGTTCACAATCATAAAAATGTTACAACAGGTTGCTCAATCCAAATGAAACTAGCGAGATACAAGTTGCTTAATCCAACAAAGATAATAATAACAAACAAGCAAGTTTACAGTAATATTTGGTCAACATAAACATATAATTGTGAGTCGGTAGTATAAATCTGCTCAAATGAATACAAAACTATCATTTTCCTGACTTGAAACAGCTGCTAATAGTCCCACATTGAAAACAAAAGGAACCTAGAGCAATTGCTACAGTAGTATATAAAGCAACGCTTGAAATTTCGTAAAATTATGGAGCCGTGCGTTGAGCACAAAGCGAACTATTCTTTCGCCTTTTACTAAAGAATACCGTGTGCTCGTCGCATGAAGCGGCATACGCCTATTTTTGGAAAGGAACCTTAATTAGGGTCCTACGCAATCCAATTTCAGTTTAAAGACTTTGGGAAATGAATGCATATAAGGAGTCTTTGTTTTGACAAGGGTGCCATTGGTAAAAGTTATGTGAGAGAGATTTAGCTTAACATGGTTGAAATTTAGGTTTGTTTACTTTCTGTATATGTTATATGTTACTTCGACAAAAATGAGCATATATTAATGAGATGACAGTGGACAGTGTTCCGGTAAACGGTCAAAACAGTCTTTGGGTTGTTGTGCCTTATCAGTATTTATGAATGTGTCTTTTGCAATTTGCTTAGGGTGGAAATCCAAGGGTTTAAAACCATGGAAAATGCAAACCGTTGACTTGCCTTTGCCTGTTATAATCTTATCCTAAAAAGTCGGTCTAAGTTCATTTAACATTGGTTCGATAATAAATGTCATAAGAGAATGAATTTTGTTTTAGACGTAATAATTGTTATATGCAAGACTCTTTTCTCACAAAAAAGAAAATGAATTTGTCAGGATAAAAATATAAAATTTGACATGTTGAAGTCAGGACAAATTGAACTTATAAGAGAGAAGTATAATTTTTTTTGGTAGATATCGATACACTACCTTCTGCTTTGATTATAAAGTATCACATAGATAATGAATAAACTAATGAAAAATAAATTATAACGATACATGACATGCTATTTATTTTTATCCCATGTTGTGTTAGTAATTTATCGGCATCAGGTTTTCAATTTTTTGTATATTATGACGGTTACTTAAAACAATTTTTCTTTTTTAAAATAATAATAATAATACACATATGGAGATGCCAATACACGAGAACGTGTATTTTTAAAAATGAACATGTTTCTGTTCATATATGCCAACAAGAAATGAAATCTTGGGATACAAGATCGAAGATAACGGAAATGATATATAAATTTATTGGAGAACAAAGCGAAAATATTTGGGTAAACTGTCGTGTATTCCAACTTTATGCCAAGAAAGGTGGAACATAAATCTAAGCAATATACTTTCATAATCTCTAACAGAGTAGAGGGTACATTGCCAAGATAGACTCTTGTAACTAATTTCCTTCAAGAGAAAGCAGAAGGCTAATTACAAAGAAAGAAAAGAAAAGAAAAATGCAAAATTTCCGAAAAAATATTTTAAAAAAAGAATGTTATTTACATTTCAATTGTGCCTGGACAGGCATCAAATATATATAAGGAAATCAGCATTGTTGGGATTGCCGAGAAGCTGATGTTTCTGCAGTCTTCTCGTCAAGCAATGGTGCAGTGCTTGTCCTTTCCACCCTTGATGTTTCATGCTCACTATCTTCATCAAATCTATCCACACTATGCAAAAATATTCCTGCAATATATTACGAGTTGACGATGACCATAGAACTTTTAACTAATTCTAATATACTTGTTCTATTTTTTTAGGTTGGGTTTGGACATGATTTCTATAGCCAGCAATACTAAGCACACTTGCTTTTATAATAATGACACTTCAAAGAAATTACAAATGTGATATTTTTGTAGCATATCGATGGGATGTGGCCATAATGAACACTTACCTATAAACCATATTGCAGCTGCTGGGAAAAATATAGTTGTTAGAATCAATGCGGTCGTTCTCCAGTTGTTAATATTATCCTGGATACCAATATGTACAGAACTATGGTCAGAATATTGCATGACATCATACATCATGTTATTTACTTATTTTCTCTGCCTACCTGTCTCTCGGTTTGATAATAAACATTTAAAGTTGCAATAATGCTATAATGTAAAGGTGTCAACACATTTATCATTTATACACTTTAAGTTGACCCCCAGAGTGTTGATTAAAAGTACATAAGATGTGAAAAATGGTCAGAACTGCTGCTTTAACTTTATAAAAAAGGAAACAGAAAGAATAGCCAAGAGATGATTCCCTGAAAGTTTTGTAAATTGTAACAAATATAACTAAAACAAAGCTAACCTGCATAACTCCAACAAGAGGAGAGGAAGGCACGTCTCCAAATATGTGAATAGCAACAGTAGACATAGCCATAGATAGCGGCCTCAAACTTGGTTTAACACAATGGAGACATACATAATTCACAGGACCCTAAAATGAAGATAGCAGGAAGGAAAAAATAATAAAATAATTTAGACCAAAATTCTAGTTATCAAGTAACAGAATTTATCTTTCGACAGAGTATTCGAACTTTATTTCCTTAAAAAATGATTTTTAAGGCAATATATTATTCAGTTAAATCTTGATGTAAAGAAACAGGAAATGTATCCCTACCAATAGGCAAAAAACAAAGGATAAAGAGTGTTCACTTTGGAAACAAGCACAAAAAAGTGTGTATGGAAATTCGTACAGATCATCTCTGCACTGTGCAACGACTGTTTTGCACTATGCACCATCATTTTGGTGTCAAAATAATGTTTGGTCACCTACAGAATTCATTTTGGACCATGTAAAGTGTGAAATTCAAGTTGAGTTATCTGTTCATGTGGTCAAATTTTATTCAGACATATTTCCCATGATTTTTCAATTTGTCCTCTTTCATAATATTTTAAATTAACTTTTATAATGCTTTGGTAGTAATGATTTCATACTTAAAATTAAATTTGCCCAAGTTAGCTAAAAAAATCCCCGTTCTTACGGAACGACATTTGGAGAAGGAAAACTCATTCTCCCAAATTTAACAATTTCAAAATCCATTATAGTCAAAAGTAGTTATACATTAGTGATCCAAGCACACTCAGAGGTTTGGAAGAGTAAACTTGTGTTTAACTTCCGAAATGTATCAGTGGTTTTACATAAGATCACTGAAATACAATAATTGATCTATATATATATAACTTAGAAACTTCAAAATACTCAACTAACAAAGGAGGAATAAAAAGGAGTAGCTGAAATACTAATAGATGATAAGCAACTATTTAGTTTAGCACATTATGTTATAAACAAGCAAACATGAAAATATTTTCCTTAGACACAAGGGATGTACCTGAGTGGCAAAAACTAGTAGTTCACCAATAGCAAAAAGAGCTAGGAAGCCATACTCGTTTCTAAATAAGAAGGCACCAAAACAAAAAGCTCCACCAATAAATGTTGTCATTGAAAGAAGCTGCAAAAGAATTCAGTGTTCAGGAAAGAGCAATGGAATTTCTAGGTGAATTGTAGGAGTGACATTTATGTATGGGCTACCGGTTTCATTAGTTAGCCCATTACGGATACAATTGTTGTGTACACTGTACACTTTAGGCGCGTGTATTATAGAAAATCCTCACTTAAATCTTTTCGTTTTTTGGTTGTGAAAACACTTTGCATGGTTAACAAATAGAATTTACTAGCAGCAGACATTGATCAACCAGTTTCCCAAATTTTAAGAAAAGAATCATATTAACCTTACACAGGCAAATAATTTCAAAATTGCAATGATAATGTTCAAAACTTATTGTTCCCACACATGCCTTAGCTGAGGTTTGTTGGTGTCTCAAGTGAGACAATTTAAACACAGCAATATTGATAATATTGTATTCCCTAGTGCATCATATGCATGATCAAAAGCAGTATTTACCACAATAATTGAGATACAAGAGCTGTTTAGCAATTGTGCAAAATCCATAATGCATTAGATACCGAAAAACATAATTTGCCTATTCAGCTAGAAGCCTAGAACATATACTACTAACTTACTACTGCAAACTAGTACAAACGATTATAGTACAAGGCATAATCTCAATCTTTTTGCCAATTAAATCCTGTTCATTCATATTTATAGAAGATAACAGTTAATGCTAAGGATGATTTAGGACAGGAAGGGCAGATAAAATGTGTACATCCAGTTATCTAATTTATACTAGTCTTCAATGTGCTCAACGGATAATAAAATAAAAACTCCATAGGACAATCCATAAACATGTATAAAAAATGTGCTAGAAACTTGGAATTTCTCTCTGAATTCAAGATACCAACCTTAAAAGCATTTGAAATGGTGTTAGTCATGAAATCAAGAATAAAGCCTCCAGCTAAAGTGCCCAATATTCCACATACGACAGTAATTCCTCCAAATATCATATCTGCATTAGTCTGCAAAGGTAAATTGTCCTTAATAGTCGATAAAATTATTAACATAATAATAGTTCAGCAATAACCTTGTATTTCGTTTCACCTGCAAATAAATTACTGGCCATATACTTATTTTAAGCAAGTAACAAGACATTAAAAAAATAAGGAACACAACTATAATAATAAAATCTTGCGCATACTGGTTTCAGTAGATGAATCAAAGGCTCACCATGTGATATATACTATAACCAGCTTTTGGACCCCAATACGAGTAGGCACCTATGACGAAGTTGTATGCTATGTAACCTGCAAATAGACATTCATGCAACAGAGTTTAATGGAGACATTAATAAACAATGTTATTGTTTAAAATATATAGGTAGAGGCTAATGACTTATTTCATAAGGAAGTAAGCTAGCCAAATAGCAGCTTCTAAGATTAATTTAACAACACAATTAAATCAAAAGAAATAAGTTTAGTAGCTGATCAGTAGGAAGAAGAAGTACCTAAAACATTGACAACATAAACCTTATCAAGTAAAAGTTCTTTCATATCTTTCAGAAATCTTGAAAACTGATCCAGTATTGTGTTTGCAGATTTTGATCTAAAACAAGATGAGAGCCAACAAAATAAAATTATATATGTCAGTAATAAATCAGTAAACAGAACAAATGCTGAGAAACAATGGCAGGAACAACTGCCTCTACAGGCCCTGTAATGGCCAAAGGGTCATATACTTGAATTAAAACAATCACTATAAATTTAGGATAAGGGTACTGTTCTCACTTGGGAGGTTCATGGGAGCTTTTATCTCTTAACTCTGCCTTCATGGTCAACGGTTCATCTTTTCCATTTGAAGATTGCACACCTTTTAATCAAATAAGTAAATTTTGTTTAGTTCAACCACAGGATATTGTGAGTCAGAAACAGAACAAAACTGAAGCCTAAAATTTTTGGTTAACTGAAAGACATTAATTAAAAACTGAGCTTGTCCCAGAGAAAAAGTTATATTAATTTTGACAACTATGCTTATATCATGGTCAATTATAGGAAATTTCTTGAGCTATGTAGCACCAATCTAAAACATAATGGTACCTTGAACTCCAGACACAACTGTCTCAACTGCCAGTGCCTTTTTCGAATCAGCAGGTACAAAACCTGGATCCACAAGTAGTTTAGAGATGGCAAACAATATTAGGGAAATCGTTATAATAGAAAAATGTGCACCTTTCATCTGCAAAGGCTTCATAACAAATCCCAAAATAGCAAATGGAAGCATCAATATAGCTTCCACCCAAAAAGCATAACGCCAACCAAGATGACTTCCAACCTGTTTATAAACAAAGAAAGGATAAATCATAAAGGGCACTTTGAAAAAATTAAAGAAAAGAAGCAAGATACACATGATTATTTCTAAAGTACAGATACTGCTAAAGAAAGGGAATTCCACAACTTGCCATCCAAGTTTTTCCTTTACCTACACACCCAACCTTTTGTTTCAGTTGTGATTGAAAAGGGAGGAGAAAATTTTCATTCCAAATTTATTATCAATCGACTGCTTACACCCACTTTCTATTTTCAAGCAGCTCCCTGTGTAATATTTTCCTCTTATCCAAAACAAAATTTACTAATCATTCAGTTTTCAAAATTTTGATGGAGAATTATGCTGCTACCCTAGATTTAAATAAAATTTATGTCTTTCCTAAGAATCTTCATTGACTCCTAGATTTTAATACAGGAAGTAAAATCAAAGGAAAACTTACCAAACCACCATAGACATAGCCAATTGCATATCCTGCTGGTATACACATGTAAAATATAGCAAGCCACGCCGTTTTCTGACATATACACCGATATAAGAAAGGTTTCCACCATAAAGTAAACAGACAAAATTACAATGACATACAACATTCCAACTACTAAGAACGGTAAAGTAAACATCAGTCAGTTTTGTCAGAATATATCTTTAAACCATTAAAATGTTGAAAAGAAGCAAATTTATGTAGTTTAAGTTACCATACTGATTAGAGCTAATCTTCCTCATTAATGGTTAAAAGCATTAAATAAAGTAAAGAGTTGAGTCAGTTTGGCTAATAATCCGTGCTAGCATTAATATTCTCCAAACAAAACACTAGAAAAGCATTTGTTTCAATATTAGTTATGTAATGTCCAAGCTGACTTAGGTTCTTGACACAAACTATTCTTTTTTATTTTAGATCATGATGTTTTTCCCAAAATGGACAACCAACAAAAACCACTGACAACTTAACTTAGTAAAACAAATATTCTCCCATGTGTAAGTTTAAGAATAGCCTAATGGTATGTGATCTATGTAGCCAGCTTAACATAGTAGAATAAAGTGGTTGTTGTTGTGTAAGTTTAAGAATTGAATCCATAATGCAACTGCGCAAAGCAAATAGCATCACATGTTGAAAGGTATTTATGACCCACGAAAGGTAACATGTTTTCACATCGTACTTGTAGATGGAGCATCAACTGATCCAGGATCCCACAAAAGAAAATTATTCACAGTTCAATAACTAAAAAGTGTATGATGGCTACATATGAGCATACTGTACAATAGAAATATTCTATTGTCTGAAAGCATGAGATGATTGCAAGGGAAAGAAATAAACCTGTGCAACTGGTGCATTGTCATCAATGAAAGGGGCTGCAAGACTTATAAATGAAGCCTCGCCAACACCAACGAGCCTATAGAGAATAACAAAATGATAAGGAAAATAAACTACATAATTCTTATAATTTGTACTATAATGCTCGAACAAGATTCAATAAAAAACCAATGCTTGAATAACTAAAGCCTCTTACATGCGACAGACTGCAATGGACCAGAAATTGAAAGAGAAACCACAACATAAGGTTGCAAGAGTCCAAACTGACAATCCAACTCCAATAAGTCTAAATGGGTTTACACTGCAAAATATACGAAATATGGGATTATGTAATGATTAACATTTATCTAAGTCAATGATAGCAATTATAAATCACATAAATGGTATGTGTATGACAGAGGTAAAAAAAATTCATTATTAGATAATTATGTCTAACAAAATAGGAACCTAACTTTAAGGGAAAACAGGTTTAAAAAATTGTTAAGCTAAAACATTAATGAGTGCAGTTTAATGTATGCTGCAAAACATTTTAGACATATAAAATAATTTATTTAAAAAGATGAAAGTCATGCTGAAGAATATTTCTTCAATTACTCTTAATACATTTATTAATGAAGCTATTGCTTCACTTATAAATCAATGAGGACATTGTGGACTTCAATACAGTAGATCAGTGGTTGTTCAAAAGCTGATTCAGCTTTCATAAGTTTCATAATGTCAGGAATTGACATAGCATGTTTTCAAACATTAATAGTTGAATATTTAGGGTAAATAAAACTGAAAGAACCCAATGAGCAAATGAGTAGTTGCTGATGTCCAAGTTCGAGAAAATGAAACTAAACTTTAATGCCTATATCATATAAATCATTATGTTACTCTTTTAACTGTAACAACTCTAATTATATGGAGAAGCTAAAAACCATAAACTAACAGCATAACTGAGTCTAAAGCAGGATGAGCACAAAACTGGATTGGCTACGTGGCAAGAAAACTAAAGTAAACAATGTCCCAAGTAGATGATTTACTTTGATCACCTTCATGCCAAAGGACCTTCACATGCATGCCAAACAGGTGGTGCATAACACAAAGTTGCCATAAAATATATATTTTTTAAAAATATACTTATCAAAAGGAAAAATTGTAAAATCTCATGATCATCAGGGACAGTACATCAAGATATGGATGTCTGAGTTCATTGATCAGATTTAATAGAGAAATGTATATTTCAAATGATAATATTACTCTATTTCACTCCCCCAACTCCCTATGATCCCTGTTGCCAAGATAAAATCTATCCAGTATCATGAGATATTAAGACTTAATCATGAAAGATGAAACATGTGTCTTGCTAATTAAGGGAAAAGTTATCAAAGAAGGAATGTGTAACAACAATTTCAACAGCTACCTCTTTGCTAGAGAAGCAAATGTCGGAGAGGCCAGAAGAAGTCCAACCATAAAAGCAGATGACAGAACTCCATCCTCAAAATTGTTCAAGTTAAAATCCCCCCTGCATAGAAGGAGAATATGATGATGTCAAAAATACAACTACTAAGCTCAGAAAATTTAATGCTCCATATTATAGTACAATATGTCATGGAGCAACACACAAGGAAAAGTTCAGACAGGCAATAGCAATTTGCTGGGTATAAATTGAATTCTCCATCTAGGTGGTTGATGCTTCTTTTGAAAAAAATCCATAACAATTTGGGTGCACGGGAGTAGATTTTGTCAACAAGATCTCAATTCCTTTCTACATTTATTTTAGTAACTTGACTAAATCTGGCAAGAATACTTTTCCGGTTCACTAAAGTTATTTTTTTCAGGATAAATCATAGAGATAAAGATTCGCATAAACTGTGACAGCATCCTTTGTTTATGGTTTCAAAAAGAGGAAAGACCCAAAAGCAAAAAATAAGAGGTATTAGTTTAATAAATTAGTTTCTGTCAGTCATGCAATAAATATTCTCATCCTTGAGAACCATGTAACAATGACGTTCTGAATAACACCAACATAAATCAAGAATGGAGAATTAAGACAGTTTGAAAACCAAATCCAACAATTTAAAGACTCTGCAATAAATGCCAAAGTTTAAGACAAATAGATACATTTCCATTATTTATGCCATAGATCCTAGAATATGTTACGCTTACTGTATTCCAGTTCTAGATTTGCAGGTACCACCTTCAGTGCAAGTTCCTCGACTTCCATTAACACCATTGCTTGCTATTGTTCCTCGGTCCACATAGTTTAACAAGTTAATCACACAAAATATAACCAGCAACCTATAGAACAAGATAAAACAAATTAATAATTTCCAAACGCATAAAAGCATTGAATTTTCAAATTTCAATCTAATCTGCATTGATCAAACATTAATTATAGAATATTCAACAGTCATTTACTTAACATTAAAAAATAGAAACAGAACAAAACACACCCCACACACTACACGGGAAAAAAATTGAAAATTTTAAAAGAATAAATAAATAAATAAAACACACTCCTCTCTCCATCTGAGACATACCCAAATCATGAAAATAAAAAATTTCCTTCCTTTACCCACATTTTTTTGTACGGCAGAGATCCAGTAACATATAAAAGAAAACAAGATAACCTCTTTGGTGTAAACCATGAAGTTGTCGGAATCATGGTGGAGTTGGTGGACATGTCTGGCTCCACAGAAGGCTTAGGCTCGAGAGGAGAGGAAGCCTTAGGTTTTGTTTCGTGTTGTGCCATGTCAGTAGTACAATATAGTATAATAAAATAATATATTATATAATTTGACAATGACCCTTGAAAAGGTAACTAAAGGAATGAGAGAGCAACAGAAGAGAAAGAGGTGGCTTTCTGTTCTTCACATAACCCAGTTTTCTTGGCACAGATGACACTTTGTTTTGTTATTATAAATAATTGAATTTGCATTTTATAGATGACATAATTTGAAATCCAGATGATACGGTTAACAGCTTCCAGATTCTCCGAATCCATATTCTATCTGTGCTATCTTCTTTACAAGTTCAGAAGTGTAAGGAATAATTTGCCTAATATTTTAATATTTTAATTCCGTTGAATTCTAATTAGTTAGAATATGCCACTATCCTCTCTTTAAATCAAGTAACTAATTCATATTAGAAATGTATACGAATTTTCCGAAATAAAAAACGTTATTATATCATTAGTTAATAGTTAAACAATTAATCAAATAAAGAAAACACAACAGGACTTTTGGAGAAAATCACGGTAACAATAAGAACTCAGTTGTTGTATGCAGTACAAATCCGTATTATTTAGCATTTTATATTTGACTCATTATTTTTTAATAATTTTTAATAAAATATTATTAAAATAAACCAAATTTTTTGTTTGTATTTTTTCTGTTATGTCAGCCCGCAATTACATATTTAACATAGACGACGACAAACACTATTTTATTTTGTTTAAGATTAATTTTAGATTAATAAAACAAATTTTTTGTTTGAATTTTAATATTGTGATAATGATTAATATTTTTGTCTAATATTAATATTTAACATGAAACATGGATGATGATAAACACTAGCTAATTTTATCTGAAAAATATAAAATTAAATTTTGACAAAATGTAAACTCTTATTCTTTTCATTTTTTTCTCTTTTCTCCTCTTTCTTTTCTCTTTTATACTTGCTTTGGCATGTCTTTATTTTCATTTTCTTCATGTTCATTGTTGGTGGACAGCATCTCCGCTTCCTATTTGTTTTGTTGTTATCACAACTTATGTATTTTGTCACGAAAATCATCATTTAGTTAGTCAAAAAATATTGTCACTAAGGTTTTTTCTTTAATTTCTTTATTTTTTAATTTAAAAATATAAATTTATTTTTTAAATTAGGTTTAAGGTATTATGTTATTTATAAATTTTCTTAATATTTATTTTTCATTTAAAAAATTAAAATTATTTTTATTTTCTCAAATTTATGTTTGTATTTAGATATACTTTAATAATTTTAAGCATAAAATGATTAAAATAAAAATCATAAATTTTTAAATTACAAATTAAAATATTAATTTGAAGAAATTAATGTTAATTATACATGTGTATTTACATTAAAATAAAATTCTTTTTTGTCTTACAATTTGTAAAATTTAATAAAATGTTTTACATAGAAAAGTAATGATCAATTAATAAATTAATATAGATAAATAAACATAAAATTAATTAATTATACAATTTATTACATTTAAATTTACTGGTATTAAAATATTATTAATAATTTTAAGTGTAAATTGATTAAATAACAAATATAGATACTTAAATTACATTTAGCAACTACAAATACTATATTTACTTCTACCTATATAACTTCAATATCCTTAATATTAGTTTTTAAAATCTTTTATATTAGTTAATTAAGAAAATACATTTTATTTTAAAATGTATATATTCATTACACTTGTTTAAATAAAATAAACTAACAAAATTAACATCTAAAATTAATCTTAAATACAATATTAAAATTCTTACTAACTTTGAAATTTTTTTTTAATATTTTACAAATTCACTCTTTGCAAGTTAATCTAACATATTTTTGCATAATTTTATTACAATAAATTGTAACATTACTTTAATCAAAGAATAAACACACCTATCAACAACTAAGATGACAATAGGAAAAGATGGGTAAAGTACTATAGTATTCATTTTCATATCCGTGTTTTAAAAAAATACTTATACTTGCATAGGTAGTAATTTTAATCCCTATATTTGTATCCTCTGGGTACCTGTATACCCATATTCGCCCTTATTACCTGCATTTATCTAAGAAAAAAATTATGCTTATATAATTTTACATAAATAACATAATAATACAAAAGTTTGATACATATTTTTTGAACAAAGTTTAAACATAAATAGAAAATAAATATTTAAATATCACAAGTGTTAAGTATATCTTAATATATCAACTTTATAAACTAAAATACTTAAAAATTATAAGCAAAATTTTACACATAATTTTCAAAATATCCAAAATAACCAACTCATAAACTTGAAAAATCATGTACTGTCATTCTCAAAGATCTAAAGAAAAAAAATATTATTTAATTATTTATTATACAGTCAAAATAATAGATATATTTAAGCTATTTTACCTCTTTATCAAAATTGTTCTCTAAATGAACGCTTATTTTTTAGGTTTATATATTGTATTAGTTCAGCAATATTAGTAGAAAGTAAAACATACAATTACAAGACAAGTATTAAGTTTTATACTAACTATGTAATAATTATATTATATTAACTTATTTAAATGATATAAAATAGTAAATAAATTTTTTGATTAAAAATATAAAAAAATTATTTTTATAGTTTACTTTATTGGTAAATATATTTTTATGTTAATCTTATAAAATAAATTTAATTAGATAGATTTTTATATCTTTAAATATGCTTTCTTTTATTTGATTAACATAAATATTTATATTAAAAAATTTAACCTTTTATTTTGCATAGAAAAAATTTTGAAAACAGAGAATTATAAATTGAAAGATAACATTACTCAAAAATTCAAAAAAATTAATTTGTCCATTCAAAAAAAATTAATTATGCCTATAAAATTTAACCTATACTTATTTAGCAGGTAAATACCCTACCCGTTGATGGTAAATTTTGCCCATTGTCATCTCTAAACAACACACATGTTTTGTCTTTACAAATAAATTTTTTTAAGACCATGTCATGTGTCAATATCTTGTGAGTTTTTAAAAGGAATTATACAATACGTTAAGATTTGACTAAGGTTTGTTTTACCATAGATAAAATTTATAAAATCATTGGATGCGTTAAGATATGACGACTTTGTCTCTATCAAGAACAAAACTCGTATCTTGACATTGACAAGATCTTAGGAATTTTGTTTATATGTAGGACAAACCTTGTGTTACACCTATGGCATGATTTTCGCGGTTTTATTTTTTTAGCAAACAAAAGTATTGACATGTGTTTGAATCTCCTGGTTTCATCTTTATGACAGCCAAACATACTCTGGTTGTGACAAATATCATTTTCCTGGAATATTGTCTTTTTATGTGACAAAATTTGTAAGTAAAATCAATTATGTGATTTGTTCTTGTTAAATATGGAATTGCTTATTGATAAGAGAGATAGTTCCAGGAAGATTATCTAATAAAAGAACTATGGGAGAACTAGGAAGTCAGTGATCAAAATGACTGCTAAGGTTGTTATTAATGAAGCTTTAGGAAAGGAGAAAAACTACAAGTGTTCAAAAATTCATAACAACACACCTTCCCCTCGAAAACATCCTTGATCTCAAAGATGGAAGGATGGAAATCTCTTGAGCAAATCATAGTAGAACTCCCAAGTTGCATATTCAAAAAGTAGGTGCTTCAGCTTACCAGAACCTTAGTGACAGCTCGGCCCTTACGTCTTATAATTATACAATCCAAAATAGATTCAAGCTCTCTATTGACGTCATCTCGCATAGGAACTATAGTGGGAGTACCAGCTTGTCTTGTATGTTTCTTTAATGGAGAAACATGGAAAACATTGTGAACTGTTGAGTGAAGAGGTAGATTGAGCTTGTAAGCTACTGTTTCTATGCGATCCAACACCTAAAATGAATTATAATACTTAGGAGTTAACTTGGCATTGCTTCTATAAGCAACAGAAACTTGTCTATATGATGTAACTTCACATAGACCATATCCCTAATTTGAAACTGTCGGTTTTGTGCTTGTCTGCTAATTGTTTCATTCTATCTTGAGCTCTTCTTAAATGAAATTTAAGTACCCTTAACATTTTCTCCCTCTTCCTTAAGCTCCTGTCTACCAATTCAATTTTGGATTCTCCTAGAAGGTAAGGAAGATTCATTGGTAAGGGGTAGCCAAACATAATCTCATAGGGTGTAGCTTGAATAGAAGTATGAAAGGTAGTGTTGTACCAACACTCAGCCAAGGGAATCCATTTGGATCATTGTTGGGGAGAGTCAACATACATACATCTCAAGTAAGTTTCCAAACATCTGTTGACAACTTTGGATCCGTTTAGGGATGGTACGTTGAAGAAAGTTGAACTTGAACCCCCTGAAAAGCCATTAAAGCCTGCCATAATTGGCTGACAAAAGCAAGTTCCTTGTCACTGGTTATAGTGTTAAGAAAGCCATGTAGTTTAAATACATGATCTAAGAAGGACTGAGCAACATCTAAAGTAGTATAAGGATGAGATAAAGCCATGAAATAAGCAGCTGAGCCTATCAATAACTACAAAAATGACTTATTTACCCAAGGACATAGGCAACCCTTCAATAAAGTCCATGTTGCCACACATAGTCAGGGATGGGAAGAGGTTGAAGGAGCCCAAGAGAAGCAGCAGTATCATATTTACATTATTGACAAGTAGTGCATGACTAAATGAATTATTTGACATCTCTTGTCATGTCCTTCCAACATCTATTGTCATGTCCTTCCAAAAGACCATAACTTTTATTCTCTGAAATGTAGCATTTTGACCTGGACCTCCTGTAGGATCAACATGCATCCATAGTACGATATCCATTCTCAGATTAGTGTTATTACCAATCACCAACCTCTCTTTTCTCTCAACTCGTTTCATTACCAAGTGTACAGTTTATGAGAAGTTGGATTAGATTGTGCTTCAGTTATTAATTTCTGCAGATCAGCATTAGATTTTCAAGACTTATGTATTCTCCTAATCAAGTTAGATTATAAGTGATGAACTTGCAGAATTTGACATTCCGTGGTGAGTTGTCTCTATGCGAGAAAGTGGCCACATTGTCCACTCCTTGTTTGTATTTAATAGAAAAGTCAAATTTTGTTAGTTTCATAAGCCACTTCTAGCATAAATTTTAAGTTTTTATGATATGTTTTTATCACAAAATGTCTGTTCAACAATGAGCTTTTTTTCATAAGTGGATAAGGATTTCTATTGTTATTCAAAACCTTGCTTATGAAAGCAATTTGGTGGTGGTCTTGCATTATAATAGCTCCTATGCCATGGCTTAAAGCATCTACCTCCACCGTGAAGATCTTTGAAAAATCTAGGAGTGCTAGAACCAGAGTACTAATCAACCTTTCTTTAAGTTGCTAAAAGGCTAATTTAGCTGCCGCAGTTCACTCAAAGTTGTTCTTCTTTAGCATGTTAGTGAGTGGTCTAGCAATTAACCCATACCCCATTACAAATCTTCTATAATATCCTATCAACTCCAAAAATATCCTCAACTACTTAACAGTTTGAGGATGTGGTCATTCCTCAACTATTGTAATCTTAAGAGTGTCTATAAAAACTCCTTCTTTAGTTATAAATTGACCAAGATATTCAACTTTAGGCACACCAAAACAGCACTTGATTTTCTTGACAAACAAACAGTGAGTTCTCATTGTAAGAAAAACTTTGTGCAAATGATTTACATGGTCTTCTACGCTTTGACTATAGATAAGTATATCGTCAAAGAAAACGAGCAAGAATTTCTTTAAAAAGTTGTTGAATACTTGATTTATTAATCTTTGAAAGGTAGCTGGAGTATTTGTGAGGCCAAAGGGTATCACCAAATATTCAAAGTGATCTCTGTGTTTTAAAGGCTGTCTTATGGATGTTAACTGAATCCATTCTCGGATCTAAGGTCAATTTTTGAGAAAATGCTAGATTCATATAACTCATCTAGGAGATTATCTACTAGAGAAATTAAAAATTCCCATAATTCATCTTTCTTTCCCATTAGCACTACAGAACTGGCATAAAGACTGGAACTATTCTGAATTAATCCAGAATTAAAGTACTCCTGAATCAATTTGCCTATAACATTCTTTTGTTGCTTAGCATAGAGTGGAAAAAAACACCAAATAGCAAAATTGTTTTATTTTAGTAAATTTTATTAAAAAAATAAATAAGCCTTTATATTTTTCTTTGACATATATTTAAATTAAAGTTAAAATATATATTTAATTGTTATAATTAATATTTATTTATAATTAACTTTTATATAATTTATATTTTAGTTCTTTTATAAATATTTTATTTTATTTTTTGTTATTATAACATGGTAATCAATAGAATTATCAAAATGTAATAAAATACTAAAACATAAATTTTTTAAATATAAAAATTAATTTATAAATAAATATTAATCATAAAGCATACAAAATAATAAATTTGGTTATATATATATATATATATATTATAATTTATTCATTTTTTAAAATAAACTTAATTCTTAATTAATAAAGAATTTTACTTTGTTTTATAATTATACCATATACAAAATTTGATTAATATTCAACACAATTTTTTGTAGAATATATTAATTTTTATAAAATATTTAAAAGATAATTTTTTTTAATAAAAACACAAAAAAATTACTATTTTGGAATATAAAACTACACCACAACATAAAATCTTAAGAGATAAAATGTAAGTAAATTTTTATTTTTTTTATTATAATACAAATAAGTAATTCTTATTATATTAACTTAAAATTTTATTAATTAAAATTTATGAGACTTTGTTAATAAAATATTTAGTTTTTCTTTAATAACAATAAAATTTTTTTGTTATATGCAAACTTTTTTTTAACATTTTATTGATTATAGTTATGATTTTTTTAATCAATTTATTTATTTATTAAATCAATAAGAGTTCTATTTATCAATATATATTATTTTAAACTATAAATAATTATCTTTGACTTAATTTTTTAGCATCTTAAAAAATTTTAACTTTTTTATTGATACTTTATTTGAATTTTTTTTATTAAAAATTCACTAAAATTCTTTTTGTTTATAATTCTTATACTAATGTTTTGTTATACTTTAATTCACAATTTTTTATAACATTGTTATCAATAAGAATTAAAGTATAACAAAACTTTCATATAAGGATTAAAACCTAAGTATCTAAGTATAGAAATTAATTTGCAAATGAATATAGTAAAAATTAAATGTATATTTTAACATTTAATTAATATTCAATAATTTAAAATTAATTAATTCTATAAAAAAAATTCAACTTTAAAAGAAAGCTTTCAATTAAAATAATAACTTAGTTTAATTTATACTTCACATATTACACGCTATTTGGATATGCGTCGTCCGAAACTATTATTAGCAAGGGAGAGAGTCACCTTTTCAAACACTACACTCATCGAAGTTCAAATTTATAAGGGAAGAAGAAGTGAGATATTATACTTATTTTCATTTTAATTCTTCAATCGTTCGAGTCCAAAATCAATTTGCACTAATGCATTTGAGATATTGATTTTCAGAAAAAGAAGCCTATTACCAAGAACCACTGCAAATTAATTTTAACAAATGGGTCGATAATATTTTTCAGTAAGTTTATTATTATACTTCATTGACTGTGAAATGAATTTGATGCATTATCATTATAAAAAATACTTCACATTACCATCTACCTAATTGTGCGTTGCTTCATTTTAAACATTACAGTTAGATAACATCTTAAACTGTTTATGGGCGTGTGCAATAAGTAAAAATTATTCTCATGGTATTAAATTACTATACATTTGTGATTTTCAAAGAATTGAAAAGAGCATCTGAGTTGGAATGATGCTGTTCTACAAACTCTCTTGAATTGAGATGTTAACTATATATATATATTGTTAGCTCTGCTATAAAAATGACAACTTCGTGAATCTTTCAGAAGCTATAGGGTTAGAGGAGCAAAATTAATGGGAAGAAGCCCTAATTAGGGTTCCTCTGTGGCAGTGTGTGAAGTGATTGAAGGGTCTACTTGACTCTTCGGTCTTAAATCTTGTGATCCAACTATTGAGCTTTCTTCAGTACCTTGTTTGCTAAGTAAAACACCATTTCCTTCTAAATTCACAGCTTGATTTAGTTCATGATCTTGCTCTTCAGGATTTACTTCCTTCTGAATTGTAACCAAAGAAGCTTGATCTTTCTGGTTCAGTTCCAACAATTCAGATTCTGGTGTAGTTGTTGCCACTGGTACACGTGTCTCCTTCATGTCAGCAACTTTCACCTAACAATATAAACACCAGTTTCTTTTATGTAAGTTGTTATCCCAGGAATAAGGAGCAAAATAATAAATGGAGAGTGATGATATGAGAAAGTTATCTGACAGATATATGTTAGTTAATTAGGTTAGTTTGGTTGATATTAGGAAGTTTTAATTTCCTTCAAATTTCATTTATAGGCTATGCATGGCTGCTATATTCTAATTAGGTTAGAGGAAGTAAACCACAAAGCACCATATCAATGAAAATAATCCCCAAATATTAAAGTCATTACTTGGTACATTTTTTGAACAGTTACAATTAAATTAACCTTTCTCCCATTTCTTTATCAGATATTATCTTAAATTCAGATAAATCCACATGTCAACCCACACAGACAACCATACTTCAGCATTTACTGAAGACAAATCATTGTTATTGAAGTACCTGCAGCGGTTTCATAATATCTAATTCGCGATATTCAGACTGGGTGACTGCTTCTTGAGCTTGGAACTCCATGGAATCTCTAATAAGCTGACTCAAAAATGCTACATCATCAGACATTACACCAAGGCCTTTCAGCAGCTTAGAACCCAGATGCAAGCTAGTCTGCAAGAATAAAATATTTAGCTCCAGTTTCCACTGAAATATTTAGTAATGATTGTTACAAGTTGCCAGCATAAGGAGAGGGAAAGAAATTGTTGACAGTACCTCAGCATTTTCCAAAATGGCGTCTGTTGCGCCTGCTTTCTTAAGATCTAAAAGATGCTTGAGATCTCGAGCTCTGGCATATATTGGGATCTGAGGAATTTTGTCACAAAGTGTGCAATTAAACCAAGAGAGATGAGAACAGAAATAAAGAAAGGGATGAAAATCATTTAGTTACAAATTTTATCTGTCAACAACCCCCTAATAGTACAAGTCCTTGTGCATCAAATGGCCTTTTCTTCTGCTTATGTAATTTTGTGTGTGCTAAACAGGGGGTATGCTGTATGCAAGAGATTTCAAATTAAATAAACGATCTTCTTTTAAGCTTCATAAGATTATATTGGAGTCTATCACCATTGGTTTTATAAAGAAATTAAAACAAAGCTAGTCACATTATACTACCATAGTTTCTTTCCATTACAAAATCCTGTTACTTTCCCACTCTTACGCACAAACATGCTCTTACAAAGAAATATTGAGATAAGAAGGGAAGGAGCTAGCTGTGAGTTAAGGGTGGGGAAGAGATTATTACTGCAGGAAAAATCAATCTTAGCCTCTGAACAGCTTCAATTGTCTTCTTCTTCCCAGTGTACATAATCATAATAGCTTTAGGGGAATGAATACCAGCAGAATGAAGAACATCAGGACGCGATCCATCCCCATAGAGAATGGGAAAACCAAGTTCTCTAGCAGTCTGTCAAACAGTTAATGATGGGAGTGTAAATTAAATGAAGGGTGGATAAAAGAGATTTTGATATGAAGGGAAATAAATGACATGAAAATATTCTTTCACTCTATAAATAAAACAAAAGGAAAAACTAAGAACAAAGAAATGTTGAATGATTGATGAGTCAACTCTCAACTGGAAAATCTATTCTCAAATCCCATGCTACTCACAAGTCACAAGATCTATGAATCTTTATTTATTCTTTTAAAAAGAGAAAACAGTACATTGGGGAAAAATATAAATAGAGAATTTTTCTGTATAAAGAAACTTGTCTTTGTATACAATGCCTCATGTAAAGCATCAGACAACATCTAATCCCCAATACCAAGTTAAAAACAGTAGATCTCTATTTAAAAATTTCAAACTCAGAAAAGGTAAAGAATGTGTAGATACTAGCAGAGAGTGGTAATACAATGCTCAAATACCCTGACCTTTACTACTGTGGGGTCAAGATCAAATGCCACATAAGGCCATCCTACTGCATCACTATCTCCTCCTGTAGCCAATGGATTGGACAGGAAATTTGCAAGGACCTTCATACACAGAACAAAAGGTGAAATTTAGAAATGAATAGTATAAATATCAGGGTTTACAGTGAATTGATTGATCTACCTGGCCCATTTGTCCAAATCCAAGGATAACAACAGGTTCACTAGCATCATAGTTAACCGTCTCAGAAATTTTTTGTTTCTGCAAGTAATTTAGTAATCAGCCAATGTAAACTTGCAGTTAAAATAAAATAACCATGGCATAAGACCACCATATATATCTTAAAGAAACAGTTAAAAACTGTTCTTTATTTCCCAGAGTTTCTTGCATAACACCTCAAGTTAATAAAAGAATAATACTTGGAAAAAAAATTGACAGCTAGATGCATAGAATTCAAAGAGAATGAAATTTGCACCAAAAGCACCCACTTTAATATAGCTTGTGAATTTTCTTGTATTTTTTAGTTACATTTCTTTCGTAAGACATTTTATTTCAAATACACAAGTAATCCATCATCATTACTAAGAATCCTTATATGCATGCACATGCGTGTGTCCACATAAGTTCCCAAATTGTAAATTGAAAAAAAAAAAAAAAAAGGCATACATTTTCAGCATCAAATTTGTCTTCAATAAAATTAGCAGCCCTTCTTCCAGCTTCATTCAGAAATGGGGTTAATGCCATTGACAATACAACAACAATTATGAGCAGCTTGTTAAGCTCAAGTGGAAGCACCCCAAGCCTGCTTACAAGAAGCCACAATTTTTATAATTAAAAACAAACTGAATTTTCCCACTCAAAAAGCATCAATGCATCGGGTTAAATAATTATTTACCTATTTGCTAAAGAGAAAACAACAAATCCAAACTCGCCTCCTTGGGATAGAAGCAATCCTATTCTTACACTTTCTTGTAAGGTAAGCCCAACACGAGGACCAATTGCAGTTATGATCAATGTCTTGATGGCAATTAAACCTCCCAAGAGTGAAAGTACATTTGGCCACTCTCGCAGAAGGAGCTGCAACAAAAAATTAATAATAATTACACAGGGGAAGGTGGCTACATTCTATAATGTCATCCAAAAAGCAAGTTGGTACTTGGTAAGGATATATATTCCTTAACGCATGGATCTAACATCACTATCCATTACATGTCATAAATTCATCGATCCAAATGTGTGAAAACAGATAAATCACTTGGATGTCATTTAACCAAGGATTTTTTTCTCATAGAATAATCTGAAAATGTTGGAGCTGGTGAGGGCCTGAGGGGTGGGTGGTTGTGTATCTTACTTCAAGAGATCACAAGGCAATTACTTGACTATTTGAATTTATCCAAATTGCATGTTCAGTATGTTGTGATTTACTAGAACATTGCATCACAGGTGATCCAATTCTCAAGCCACTATAACATCTAGTATGATGAATCTGATAATTGAAGTTCGATTATATGCACAGACAAAATGGTCCAATTAATATATAACCATGCTTAGAAAAACAAAATAACCATGTCAATGTTACATATATACATACATATATATATATATATATATATAAATATCACAAATGATAGTAATATTACCTGCATGTCAATTGAAGTTCCCGTAGTAAGAAAAAACAAACCAAGCAGCAAGCCTCTAAATGGTCTTATGTCAGCTTCAATCTGGGTCCTGAAATTTGTCTCTGCTAAGATTGCTCCAGCTAAAAATGCTCCAAGCTGCATGATTTCATACAATTGTCATGTAAATATTCAATTCAGTGATTCTCCACTATTCTATAAGTATAACCAACCCAAAACCCTCAGCATTGAAAAGCAGAGAACCGTGTCACTGAAGCCCAAATTCTGTGTGACTAGTGAAGTTCCAGCAATAGTCAGCAAGCAAAGAGCAACAAAAGCCTCTGAGCTCCTTGTATCTGCAACAACCTGAATTTCACCAACAATTTACAGGCCTAAAACATATAAAAAATGAGTCTGGATGCACTTTACATATTGGATAAAACATTTGTAAAATATATTTAGTACAGACCTCAAAAACTCTTCTGAGAATGTACTTTGCACCAAGAGAAAGCAAACCCAATCCACCTAATGCCTTCAAACTTTCTTGAGCAAGCATGGGCCAAATACTCTCCTGAGATATAGTCTAGATTCAAAAACAAGAAAAAGCACAGGATGAACAGTCAAATAACCAATGTAGTTTATTACAGGAATTAGGAAATATAACAGTAAAGAAAAATGCCATAATTGTAAGCCTCAAAATTACAGTATGTGGAAAGTAAAGCAAAAAGGGAAAATTTCAACAGTAGTCAGTGGAGTCAGATGGCCTAAAAACTGCACCTTCAAAGAAGGAAAATTTTCAACAGTAGTCAGCAAAGCTGTTAAGTGGAAGCTTATGAGCAGTTTTATAACAATGCACCAATGCTACCGTTTTGGACCTTGAATTACTCTCTCTCATTCACACACACACACATGATGACAATACAAGAAAAGACGTGCACTGACTTCATTAAATTTCTAACTATTGTATTGTACATTCAGATTAGAAGGATAACAAGTATATTACAAATGTTGTACTTGTAAGCCAAGCCCATATTAGTACTAATACATTAACAATTACAAATAGTTTAAAAAGCATCATCAAACAAAAAATTCCATTTTGCATGTATGTCAAACTGGTAGGTTGACCATGCAATAGTTGATGACTAGAAAATGTTAAACATAATTAAAGCATGATAAAATTCTCTACTCAGCCAACAACTATAACTCCCATTTTAACAAGAAGCAACCAGAAAGTCAATGCATTAAATTAAAAACAGATAGCATAAGATAAATGTTAAATAGTATTCATAGTTTACATCTCACCTGACTCTCTAATATTGGAAGTATGACTAAAAGGGGAACAACGGCTAAGTCCTGGAGATTGCAAGCAGAAAAGAAACAAAGTTTAATTATATTGAAGCCTTTCTTGACCGGCATCATATCAATCTACTAGGCTGTGTCAGAAGACATCAACAGGTAAACTAAAACATAAAATGATTTCTAGCAACTGCATATTTTAGGTGATAAAAAAATTATAAACTTGGAGGATGAGACAGTGTAACCAAGCAAGAGTGTAAGACAAAAACCTGCAAAAGAAGTATTCCAAGAGTTGCTGAACCAAATCTTGTAGGAAGTTCACCTTTTTCTGCAAGAAGCTACAAAAATATACACGCTTGATAAGTTACATTATCCACACTAAGTGTGACATATGATAGTGGTTTCATTCATGGGGAACACCCAAAACCACTAGCATAAACCAGACAAAATTTTCACCATGATTTCTGTCAATTAATACAGAACATATAAACAAAGTAATAGCATATAAAGAACAGGGCTGGAAAAAGAAGTTTATAAGCCAAGAGATTGCTTGCAAGAAGCAAACAGAGCAACATGATGTAATGATGTGGCAGGACTAGGGGAGGAAAATCATGTAATTATTAACTATTACTACTAAATCAATATTATCTTAAAACAAAAAGCAAAGGGACCCAGAATGGATTGTAAACGAAGTAAGGAATGATGCAAAGAATTCCAGCTATCAAAATTAGCAATATTTTTTTTAAATTATTGTATTAACTATGAAATTGAAAAATGCTGACCACAAGCTCAAGCTTGTCCACTGAGACTTTTCTCCAAAACTTAAATACTATGTTGAAATGTGAATATCTTCAAAAATATTTTATAAAATCATGGGTGTGCTTTTTAATATTAATCTAAACAAATTAACACTCTTTATATTTTCCCAACCTAGTGAGATAAGGCTTAGTTGTTATTGTTGTTGTTGTCAATAGCCATGCAAATATATTTATTTTTGTTAGTCACATTCTTTTTTCATTTTTTTTACATATTTGTAATGTATAAAAATATTTTCTCGTTATTGGAAATTTGAAAAATGAAAGTGAGTGATCAATGTAAAAATTTGAAAAATGAAAGTATTATAGAAAAAAGATTACAGCACAAGTCAAAACTAAAATCTGACATGTGAGAATAATTAGTATAGATACATCACAAGGTAACAAGTAATTGGAATTTGGACACTTATTTTCATTTTCAAATAGACATTCAAAGTGAACAAATACCTGGAGAACAAATGCTGAGGATGAAAGAGAGAGTGCAGCACCAATCACTACAGCTTCATCAACACTTCTGATGTTCACCTATCCAAGATTAAGTTATGAAGCTTCAAGTTCTTTTGATATTAAAGTTTTCATATCTAGCTATAAATTAATCAATTATCTTTGTAAGCAATCAATCATCTTAAAAGATGCTGTTAGGCGTAGGTTTACAATAGATCTTACCCCCCCCCCCCCCAAACAAATGCAAAATCCATTTAGCCATATGTGCATATTAGGCAACGAAAAATCCACCTTTTCATATGGCCATATTAGGCAATGCAAAACATACATTTAACATCTCAATTATCGTTGTGGACAAAGCAGGCATATGCATAAGAATAGGGATGCGAGGAATGAATTCCATGTCCTATGGAAAGTGTCTGTAATCTGTAGTCTGTAATTTATGTGTACGTTCTGTCTATCTCACACCAGAATGACCATAAGTAATTTATAACCATGAAAAAGTACAAAAAAGAAACAAATATACAATTGTTAGATATAGAGACATTACCAGATCAGGCCTTGAGTGGAAAAGAAACTCCAAAATTTTTGTTCCAACAGCCCCATTTGGTGGAAGTTCAAAAGCAGTAAATGCTAAGGTAGATAGTACAACCTTCAAAAGTGTTCAAATGAAAATTAAAATAAGGACAAGAACATTAAAATCCAAGTTCTAGAACAATTATAAAGATTGAATAGCTAACTATAACAAATCAGTGGCACACTAAAGTTATAATATTTAACATAGATGAGGCTAAACATGGAATAACTTGAATAAATGGCTTAAAAAATTATCTTGCATGCTCATTATCACTACCAAAGCATCTAACCTGAGCCAATCCCATACCAAAGGCATATTTTGCAAGAGCTTTCAGACGTGCAAGTGAAAGCTCTAAACCCATCTCAAACAGCTGAAAAGAAACAAAGATTACATCAGATTAATAATATACCATGTTTATAAGAAATTTTGCTGGGGATTATCACCATGACAAGAATATAAATTGTTTATATTTTATATTTGAGATTTTTACAAGGTTTTTCCATGATCTCCAATCATATTTTTATGTGTGCTGCCTTGTCATACAACAAATATGAACATAACAGAAAAAGAGGTTAGGTTCAAGCAATGTTATTGTTGAAATTTGAAAATATAAAAGAAAATAAAGACATATAGAAAAACTAAGCAATCCATGCAGATGGAAGCCTAAAGACACAAAAACAACTGTGTTTTGTAACAATTCAAGTTAAAAATTACAGTTTGCAACACCAGAGTCTCTGAAAGAAAATCTTGATGTAGATGTTTTCTATGATTAATGCACATCTAAACCAGACTAAAACATTTTTCGTGCACTCCAACAAGCACCTGGATAAAAATTATTAAAAACTTGACTACAGTATCCTGCTATCCTGAACTCTAATTAAAAATTCATGAAAACACAGAACAGAAATGGTAAGCACTGGATGGTGGATACTGATTTCAGTGTGGATTACTAGTTTTATGACATAGCCACATAGGTAATAACATTCTAAAATATGTCGCATATATCACAGTTTCAATGCTTCATTTGAGGGTGACAAACAACTGAAAAAAAAAATGAAAGAAATAACAAAAGTAGTAGTATTGCCACTGATACCAAAATATAACTTACCAAGAAAAGGATCCCCCATTCAGACAAAACTTTAACATCAGTAAGGTTTCTAATTAAACCAAACTGATTGAGTACCACCCCAGCACAGAAGAAACCAAGTATCTGACATAAAAACCAAAAATAAAAAACTATTTCAATTATAAATATATGAAAGTAAATGGATAAAAATGAGTGCAATTCTACTATAATGAGTGTAAGATTCAACATGCATGTTTATGAATATTAATTAGCTTTAGATATAATTTTTTTTTACAAATCAAAATAAATCTCAACTTCATAGAATAATAAAAGCTCACTTCAAAATTTGTTTATTAAGTACAATGATGACAATAATATAATACAGATAACTGATGGGAAACTATAAGAAAAAAAATTTCCAGAAAAATGTTTGGAAAAGTAACTCAAAGATTAATGCTTCTAGTTAGTTAGTTTGGTGTATAAGCAGTACAATCAACACTTAAGTTGTGCATCTCTCTCATGTCTTGATGGCACAAGTTTGTATTGTTTACTTTAAAGAATTCCTTAGTCCATTTGAATTAGTCAAACTAATACAGAAATTTGCTTAGCATTATGTGATATAAATAATGATTATGCTCATTGAGATACGATATCATCATAATTTCAAGAGAAAAATTAAAAAAACAATAAAAATAAAACTCCAAGAAGTTCTTACAGGACTGGCTCTGAGTAACTTGAAAGTGGGCACAATTAAGACAGTCACACCCAAGAAAGTAAGAGTATCCAATCCTAGATCATTGATGACTTCAACAGCACCGGCAACATCATATGCTACATTTGTCTGTAGCCGTTCCCATTGTAGTGACCTATACTTGGAAAAATAGATTCCTTTCCAGCCAGAAAATGATGGAACATTTAGAGGCCCCCTTTTAAACAAATGTTCTGAAACAGAAGTCCTATGAAATCTCCCACGAACAGCACCGTCTGATAACGGCGATACTTGCTTGTTAACTGAATATAGCATGAAAATAGAACTTCTACAGAATCGTGAAATAGCATGAGAGTAACCAGGACTCTTTTGTTTGGTGAGGTCATATCCCTGCAAGGAAATAATATTGCAAGCAAATTTCAGTTCAGAACAAGCAACAACTATCTGAATATGGATTAGATTAGATTATGCAAGAAGCTTATATTTATAGTTTAGTTTAACACAGTCAATTCCTGATTTCTCAAGGAAAGTACGAAAACAAAGAGGGGTTGGGTTGGAGGAACCACTATAGCGTTTGATTTGACTCAATACGATTTGAATATGCACTGAATTTAGCAACAACTTCATAGTTTAAGCATTACAATTTCCATATCCCTTCATTTTCTTGAAGGGAAATGAAGGAAAGATGAAAAAAGAAAAAATCTTGCAGCTGATATCTGCATTACTCAAATAAAATAATCTACCATATCCATTGCTGCATGAATCAAACCTCATAAAACCAACCCAACAGTGATAACATAAGAAATTAAAAAGAAAGAAAGATAAAGGAGAGATGTTACCTTAAAGCTTTGGCAACAAGCTAAAGACTCCAACATAGTGGCAGTGATCATGAAGCAAGAAAACTCAACTTGGGGAAGCTCATTTGTGTTTGTTTGTTCGTGTTATATACACCCAGATAGAATTTGAAGTTTGTTGAGAGAAAACAAAGATGAAAAAATTATCTTTAGAGTGTACTTTGCTTAGGTACCTCAAAAAAAAGAGGTGGATAAAGGAACACGTACATACAAGTTGGAAGAAGCAAGGTGAAAGACAGAAAACATTACAGAAAACGAAAGCGTCGTAGAAAGGTTTTAGATGAGTTTGGAATAATAATTAGATAAAGGAAAGCGTATGAGAATGCTTTGACACCACAACCATTCAAGTTCTTCACTGATGTCTGATGTGGTTCTAGTGGATCAAAACGATGCTAAGATTTTTCAAGTCAGAGATACGTAATCTCCACGTGGCGATTGCTTTTTTTTATTCTCAATGTCAATATTGGAACGTAAAAGTTTATATAAAAGTAAATATAAGATGCTTTTAAAAAGTATGAAATATCAACAAATAAAGGGGTACTGTGAAAATTTAAGTCTTGATGGAAGCATCATTAGCTATTTAACTCCAGTGAGTTAGATCCGTAAATATCAATGTCTTTCTTGAAAAAGAGTAGCCTCATTTTAATTTTTTTTTACCTTACTGTGACAGTATATACTATTTTTGCATCCTTTTTTTTAATGTATCATTTGTTGTATGATAAAAGAGCGTTTTTAATGTTGAAAAATATTTATACAATAGAATAAAATCGATTCCGTTTTTTAACATGAGATTTTAGGGCTGGAAATTATATTTTTTTATATTTTTATAAAAATTTAAATTAATTATTTTATTTTTTATTTTCTTTATTAAGTTTTTCTTTCGTTCCCTTAAGATCTTAGTTATTTATAATTTTTTAATTATCTATTTTAAATTTATCTCAATATACCACACTTTATATCATAAATATTGGTAGAATAAAGAGAATATACTTTTATCGCATGTTAATGTTTTAATTTATTAGACCACACTAATGATAGGAACTGAAATAAATAATTCACAAAATTATAAAGACCAACGCTAAAGAAAAAAATTCAAAGGGATTAAAGCGAAAAAAAAAACTCAAATGTCGAAAATATTATCTCATTGAAATCTTCTTATTAAAATGCAACTTTTAAAGATAATTAATATTATTATTGTAATTTTGAATAGAAAATTATTTATTAATTTCTTCTTTATTATCTTTAGAATAATTAATAGTCTAATCATCTTCTATTATATTGCTATTTAAAGATATTAATTTCAAATTCTATCTATTTTCAGAAAAAAAAAGAGGCTGAATTCCACCAACATAGTTTTGATAAGTAATAAGTAATGATATTACCACATCATTATTGTTATGAATTATAAATGTCCTATATGTTATTAATACTTAAAATAAATTAATTAGTATTTTGTTAATATCTTATTCTAAGATTTACCAAAGAAAACAAGTTTTACATTAGTGTAATGTTTGTGAATATAGTTATTTAATTTTTAAAATATTATTAAAAAAACTTTTACACATGTTTTGACCAAAAAAAATTTATTAGTTTTTTATCTTTGATTTTTTTATTATTTGTATGAAAATTTGGAAGAAAAAAAAGTATTGGAAGAACAAGAAATGAGAAGGAAAAAGAAGAGGAAACAGTGTTAATACAAAGCCTCTCAAATAAAATAAAAAACTTAAAAATATAAAATCATGAGGATTTACAAACCCTGCCATTTCATCTAAAAATTTTAAAATAAAAATAATAATCACATGAATCTTTCTTTAAAAAATAATATTAAATTTACCAAACAAAGTCTTAAAATTGGGCTTCTGAAATTATAATGTAAAGCAGTGTAAAAGCAAATTCTTAAAGCTATGTTAAAAACAGTTTGAATTAAGCTTTTATAAAACAAGTTTCACAAGATACTCGTGTCCTGGGATGATTCACTTATATGGTATAAAATATGTGTGAACTTATAGACCATATACATCATTGTCTCTTTTTGTTGCACAAAAATGGAAGGGTGAATGGTGATGCACTTAAGCACTTTAAGTATTAAGACAGGGTTCGTGGATAGCAACTGAGACAGATATGCAGTGAATGATAAGCAAGATAATGAAGAGGATATGATATTTTTAGTATGTAATCATGATTGTATCAATAAATATTTAGAGGAGTTAAAAATTAAATAGTAAGATAAAATATTTTTTTTATAAACTAAAATCAATTTTTTTTTATTTATCTTTTCTAAAATTAAGAGTATAATTTACCTTTTAACTCATGATATAAGTTTTATTTTTTTATATTAATTATTGTCTCTTATAAGAACTTATTTAAAATTTTACTTGAAAAAAATAAGACTTAAGACTAGAAATAAAGTGGAGGAAAATAAATAAATAAATATTTACATGTTCAACTTACATGTCACTGGTTACTAAGAAAAAGAAGAAGAAAAAATTAGAAAAAGCAAAGCATATAAAGAACACTTTAATAAAAAAAATAAATTCACATGTATTATCTAATTGTATTAGACATGCAAAAGGAAATCTATACCCATAAATATTCACTCTCTGATGAAAGAAAAAACTAATTTGATAAGGTATACAAGATTAAAATTACTTTTTTCTCAACATGTAAATCATAATATGATGGATTTGGAAATATGAATACCTTGCTTAAACTTGAATCTATCCAGGTAATAATTAAATCGTAAGAATAATTTAATAGTAAAGTTGATTTTTTTTATATTGATTATATAATTTATTTTTAAAGAATTTTATATTTCTTTTAAGGTTCATTTTTATGTGTTATTAAATTAAGAAGCATGAAAATGGGTGGCATACTTTTCTCATCCCCATTGAAAATAAACACATGTTTAGAAAGATAAGTTACAAAATCCAAGCAACCCACTATCAATAAGGATGTCAAAGTAAGTTGAACTCATAGTCTGCTAAAATGATATAGTAGACAGAATGCTTTGTACCAGAAGATCAGTGCAGACTGATCTATTTGGGTCATTTTTAAATTTTTAAAAATACTTATTTAATTATTATAAATTTTTATCAATATAAAAAATTATAAATTTTTATTAATTATTATAATTTTTTATTAATTATCACCTGTGTCTACATTAAATTGATGTTATAAAAAAATAAACTTATTCTGCATGCTTTTTTTTTCCATAACTTCAGTAAAATTTCTAAAAAGGTAAACATCACTTGTCAACATGTAAGTGTTTGAAAGAAAATTCATAAGCAACGAAGAGAGAATCTTAAATGTAAAGCCATTTGTACACGGGAATTTATTTTTCTCTATATTTTCTATCTAATTCAAATACATGTCATTCAAGAAAATTATATTAAATAGAAAATTGTTGTAACAAAAATACATAACTGTATTTGATTTATTTATCTTCTCTTAAATGCTTAAAGCATAATTCCATTCATGTAAAATAATTTATTAGTTCATGATTTTCTATTTAATTTAATAAAAAATAAGAGACAATTATATATTTTAAAATATTATGTATCCTTTTTTTTAAAGTAATTATTAAGTAAAAAAAGAAAAAACTGAAATGAAACTCATTGGTAAATCAATTGAAACTCAGGTGTCCTTATTTGACGACGTAAATATTAATTAACAGTAATACAGTAAAAAAACTCAAAACGCATATAAATATCAACATATGCTAGTAAATATTCCTGAGTGATGCCCCGGTTGATTTATATTTTTATTAAATAATTTTGTTTTAAAATAAATAAAATATTTATAATTTAAATATAAAAAATATAATAACAAAATTTTATCATATTAAATAATATCAAATATAATTATATTAGAAAAAATTATGAAATAATTATATTAAAGATTTTTATTTCATTTGTTTATTATTATTGCATAATATATTTTTGTTTGAAATTATTTTTTTTAAAAGGAGTTGCTTGCTATTAAAAAGATTCACAAAATAAATATTTATTTTTTAGAGTTGCAAGTAATGATAGAATATTTTTAAAAAATTTAAAATATTTAAAAATTTTATTCAATACATAAGCTTATGTAGCATGGGTCATGAAATTTAAATAATAAATCTATTAATTTTCTAATTTTATTTTATGAATATATAATAATGTTCATTTAAATTTAAGTTTTTATATTTTATTTCATAATTTTAAATATTTTTAACTTAATTCTATTTAATATAATAAAAATATTTAAAATATACATTTTATAAAATTTAAAAATAATTATAGAATGAATTTATAATTTTATATTTAAAAATTTAATTTATATTATTTATATAATATCCAAAAGTTGACTATTTATTTAAACAATTTTTAATGTATTTAAAGATACATATTAAAAAAGTAAAAAAATAATGTTTTAGAAAAATGTATAATATTTAATATTATTCATATGTTAATTTTATGATATTATTCTTATAGTTTTAATAAAAAGTTATATATAATTTTGATTATATCCTCCTAAACACAAGTTATTTAAAATGGAATTCCCTGATTGTGTGGAGGTGGATGAGTTTTTGGAAGTTGAGTTGAAAAGGTAAAGTAAGAGAAAGTGGCGATAAGATGGAAAAAGTGTTGGAGATTAGTCCAATAGGCAATAGGGTGGTTGGAGAATGGGTCGGTGAGGGCGTGTGGTCAAAACGCGAACGATGTTATCTCTCATCGATTTATCTATCTGCTTCCGCTTTTTCTTTGGTCAAACAATACGCATTAATATTATTTCATTGGAATCATAAATATTCTTCACAACCTTCTCCCATTCCATCGTTATTATCACTCCTTCACCAACTCCCATGGCGGCCGTGGCTGGTTCCTCCTCCGCCGCCACCACCGTTCCCTCCTCCGCCCGATGCCCCCGTTCCCTTCCCCCACCGCCTTCTCAACTCTCCTTCCCTCGCTCTCGCCTCTCTCTCTACCCCACGTGCCAGCTTCTCTCCAATAATTCCCCCTCCCAAAACTCTGTCGCATCCAAAGCTTCCCCTCTCGAATTGCTCAAGACTTCCTCCGCCGACAGTGAGTCTTCATCATTATTTTTTCATTTGAATTGATCGTAACATTTTTGTAAAAATTCAGGTTTGATCCATATAAGTGAGATTCATTTACGAAATCGTTTTTTTTAACCAAGAATTATGTGTGCTTTGATCCCTATGTTTTTATATAACTTATGCTTAGTTCCTAATATTGTTAAAATAGTAGAGATCAAAGTATAATGAAACATGAATTTTATTTTTATAGAAATTAACGTGTTAATTATAAGGACTAAATAAGTATTTTAGCACAAGAAATATTATGTTATTGGATGTGGAGTTGAAGTTGTTTTGTTGTGTTTGTGTTAGGATATACAAGGGAAAAGAGTAGCATTATTGCCATAGGGCTTAATATTCATACGGCTCCGGTTGAGATGCGTGAGAAACTTGCGATCCCAGAATCGCAGTGGCCTCAGGTTATTGCAGAACTCTGTGCCTTGAACCATATAGAAGAAGCAGCTGTTATTAGCACATGTAACCGTATGGAGATCTATGTGGTGGCTCTCTCTCAGCACCGTGGTGTCAAAGAGGTTACTGAGTGGATGTCTAAGGTATATATATTTTGCAAAAATCAAGAATTTTATCATTTTATGTCCTTATTTTTCTTCAGGAAAATTCTGTTGCAGAGAATAAAATTAATTTTTGTGTTGTTTTGAATTAACAGGTAAGTGGGGTTCCAATACCAGAGCTTTGTAAGCACCAGATTTTGCTGTATAACAGGGATGCCATGCAGCATCTGTTCGAGGTAGCGGCTGGGCTTGACTCTCTTGTTCTTGGGGAGGGTCAAATTCTTGCTCAGGTGAAACAAGTGGTGAAAGCTGGAGAGGGAGTGGCTGGCTTTGATAAGAAAATCGGTGGTTTGTTCAAGAATGCTATCTCTGTTGGAAAGCGGGTTCGAACTGAGACTAAAATTTCATCTGGATCAGTTTCTGTCAGCTCTGCTGCTGTGGAGCTGGCACTGATGAAGCTTTCGGAATCTTCCTTTGCTGATGCTAGAGTATTAGTGGTCGGAGCAGGAAAGATGGGGAAGCTTGTGATCAAACATTTGGTGGCAAAAGGATGCAGAAGAATGGTTGTTGTTAATAGAACTGAAGAGAAAGTTAATGCCATTCGGCTAGAGTTGAAAGATGTTGAAATAGTGTTTAGACCTCTTTCAGATATGCTAGCTTGTGCTGCTGAAGCTGATGTGATCTTCACCAGCACAGCGTCTGAATCCCCATTGTTCACTAAAGAGAATGTGCAGATGCTTCCTGTAGTTAAACAAGGTGAAAGAAGACGCCTTTTTGTTGATATATCAATTCCTAGGAATGTGGAACCAGGTGTCTCGGATTTGGAGACTGCCCTTGTGTACAATGTGGATGATCTGCAGGAAGTTGTAGCAGCTAACAAGGAAGACAGGCTTCAGAAAGCTGCAGAAGCCAGGGGAATTATCCAAGAGGAATTGAATAAATTTGAAGCCTGGAAAGACTCTCTGGAAACTGTCACTACTATCAAGAAGTTTAGAGATTATGTTGATAGGATCAGAGCCTCTGAGATGGAGAAGTGTTTGTCAAAGATGGGTAATGACGTCTCAAAAGAACATAAAGATGCAATATATTCCCTTAGTATAGGTATTATGAATAAGCTACTTCATGGTCCTATGCAGCACCTTAGGTGTGATAGGAATAGTAGTCGTAGTCTGAGTGAAGTACTTGAGAACATGCGTGCTCTTAACAGAATGTATGATCTCGAGACAGAAATATCCTTGATTGAAGAAAAGATCAGAGTCAAGATGGGACGGGCCCAGAAGAAGTAAACTCTTAAATTGATTTAATTATGTGATTCTTGGGGCAGCTGCAACCCTCACCATTTTTTTTACACTATATAGTAGATTCACGCCCAATGGAGGCTAATTCTTTTTAGTTGTTTTTTACATATACTGATGTGACTATACATCGGCGCCACAACCAAATTCCACATGTATTTTTCGAGATGTTCTCAATACAGAGTCGTTGACAACAGATGATTGTTGTAGTTTTAATTACATCAATGCATATATTTTTGAGTCTGATTATTCTAGGATACTTTCATGATAATTGCAAGAGTACCGGTTATTCTTCAATAGTGAATAATCACATAATTAAATAGTGTATTCTGGATTTTTCATTATTGAAGAATTCCAGAATACACTATTTAATTAGTTCTCTTCCTCCACGATCTTTTCTTTCTCAATACTTTCAGTTTCAATATGTAAATCTTGCTTTAGACTCAACTCAACTCCAGATGGCTCTCAGGAGCCAGCTTCTGTTGTACGCTCATCTTCAAAACTATTTTTCCTCGTCTATGCTTGTCTTCATTCTTCTACTTTCTAAATACCAAAGATGTAAATAAGAATGCCAAAATGGATCACAACTTACAATACGCAATAAACCAAAGCATTGATGGATTACCACTGGACCTAAGAGAAAACAACCATGTAATCTTTGCCGCAGTGTAAGAACTGAAAAATGACAAAGGGATTTTGTTCATGCACGACTGACATTTGCAGTCTATGCTTTATGAGGATTTACACTGTATTTGGATTTCAGATGAAAACTTCCTATTCATGATTTGGTACCTACATTTGCTCAAACCATGGTTAGGAACATTTCCACAAAAATCCAAACACTCGCTTACTGGTTCCTTGAGAAAAGTCCGAAATCTAAACCTGTAAATAAAGAAAAATAAGCACTAAAACTTTGTTTCTTTGAATGAATCCACCTAACTTGACTCAAATTAACGTATCTTCTAGACACCAAGGGTCTAAGACCAAACTATTACTTGTACGAACAAAATAATATATGTGCTTCTTAAAATTAATGCGATTAAAATTGTTTAAAATTATACAAAATTTTTTCCCTTAAGATAACTATATTATAAATTCAAGCCCTGGTATTTATTTTTCATTTTTTTTATCCTTTTTACACACTTTTATATCGAATTATATTAATATTTTTCTCTTTAATCTTTGAAGGTAAGTTTCAGATTATTTAGTTATTTTAATTGATTTTTAATTTTTACTCAACACTAAGTATAATGAGATATATACAAATCATCTTCAACATCAATTTAACTACGTTTTTAAGATTTTTAAAATTAAAAACTTCAAATGCCTATATTTTATATTTCAATTTATATTTTATTATAGTAAAAAAAAACCCTTTATTTAGTTTTTAAAAAATTTATATTTCCATTCAAATTTTACATTTATTTATAAATACTCGTGCAGTGGATGGATATTTTGCAAGTATTTATCAATATCATAAACTTAATCATGCTACACTTAAACTTTAGAAGCATAATTGCACTAATAATTAGTTCTTTTCTTTAACACATTCAAAAACCATAAAATATGTAATGCACTTGCTAAAAAATAAAATTTTGGACATGGCAAAAATAATAATACTAAGAAATAAAAGGGATAAGGCACTCACTGTGTATTAAAAGGGATAATGCACTTACTGTGTATTAAATTTTCTCACACAAGCTAGTAAAATATGTAATGCACTTGCTAAAAGTCAAAATTTTGGACATGGCAAAAATAATAATACTAATCTGAATGGTATTTAGAAGGGAGCCACTTTCAGTATAGCATATGCTCGATCAATCAGTCATTTCCTCCATCAAAGATCAAGGAGCAAAGCTTTTCTTCCAACAAAGATCAGACTAAGAACACTTAATGCACAACTCAAGATTCTCATATCTAGGCCCCCAGAACTTGGCAGCATTGCCCCCAACATTCTTGGTGGAAAGTTTCGGTTAATGGTATGCAATATTCAATTTGATAGCTTCTTCAGTTTCTATAGCCCACCAGTTATTCCAAAACCATCAAGAATCTGTTGTGACAATATATCAACCCATGTGTCAGGAACACCAGGCAGACACCAATGCATGCAATCCTGACCCCAAATTGCTACAGCATCTTTCCTTCCTAACCATATTGCTGGATGAGCATCAGCTCTAAACTCACTTAAATGAGTTAAGTCAAGCAATTGAATGTCTGTGCCTTGTAATGCCTCTTTAATCACAAAATTCAACCGTCTTGCTTCCTTGTTAACTCCGCTGTTCCTAGGTTCAAACCATAAGTCAAGCTGTCTAGGTATTAGTTTCTTGTTCCTTAGGTCATTGCTTGAAAAGTGAAAACACACAGGGCAAGGAACAAAATTCAACATGTTTCTCAGAAAACATGAAACATTCAAGGCTTCCAAGTCGTTTAAAAATAAAAACCTTTTTACCAAATGCAAACCAGATTTGGATGTTTATGTGAGATATTGCACACTTACATTACAATGAGATTAGAGAAATTAAGTCTTTAAGTGTGGCAATTTTATAGTATAAGGAGTCTGGAAGACCACAAAATTGATTAGCATTGTGAGGAAAAAAAACTTTACCTAGGAGACATAACAATTCATACCAAGTTTTAGAAATACACACCTCATTCTCATCAAGGGGTTTGTTGAACAAACAGCTCCCATTTTGATTCCAGTCACCGCCATAAAAGTGCCTTGGAGATTGTAATCGCCAGAATTTAAGTGTGTTTCCAGGAAATTCTTTCTGAATATATGCAATCATGCTAGCAAGAACAACTTCAAGTCCATCCAATATCCCAAGTGGAGGAACTATTGGTTGTCCTGCTTTATAAAAGACAAGAGGTTTCTCTTTTGGGAATTTGTCATAATTCCACCTATTAAAGACAAAATCAAGTAGCTATATATTCAATAATTGGAACAGTTCATAATAATACTGAGGCACCCCAAAAATTAACTGGAGACCAGTAGCATCAAAATATGTTGCTACATAAGTAATCCTTTCGGAGTTCTTTTTAATGTCTTCGCAATTATTACTTATTTAATATTTAATTCATTCAAGTTGAATTCCTATGTATGCATTGTAAAGTGTTTGTTGCATGATTCATCAACTCTTTAACAATGCATATAAGGCAGTCAAACTCAAAATATGATTCAAGTGGTAGTGCATTATCCAAACGTCACAAAATTCAGGAAAAGGAAGAAAGAATTACCAGTGACCAGTATTAAACACCAGAACATCATAGAAACCAGAAATTTTATCCCAATCATCTGCAGGAACATCAACATCAACTCGATAAAAGCCTTCTGATCCATCTTGCCTGCCTACTTCAGATTGTTTTGATTGCCACCTTTGTTTAATCAGTAATGAACACATAAGGTTTCCATTCCAAAATTCACAACAAAGAAGCAAAGTAAAATAAGACAATTAGATGACACCCAAAAAATTGGAGACACTTAACAAGAATTAAGATAGACAATAGATGAAAATTGTAAAAAATGAAAACCTTGAAGAGAAATAGGCTAATCGTTGAAAATGTCAAGAAAATACTCAAACAAGCTAACAAAATAAGGAAATAAAGGTTGTTGACTTTATGGATTGCTATCGTTAATCCCAATTATTATCCAGTCCAGTTATAACAAACTTTTACTCTATGACTCCAATATAATAATCATTACCTAACTTAAAAGCCCACCATGCCCTGTTAATCTTACAATTAAATATACTTGTAGTATTGAAACTAAATCAAAAGAGACCATTGGCTAAATTGATGTATATCTATTCTTAAAATCCTAATATTGGAAATGTGAGGAGTAAGCAGCCCTGTGTATTGTTGTTCAGATACATCTATATACTGTAATATGATAGATTTTATGGTAGATTAATAGAAATGCATATAGGAATTGGCAGGATGCACGGATCAGTGAATTTGTCAATACAATGCTGAAGCTGTGCCTGACAATCATGTTATACATCTTCCCACTCTCTAATCTCCCCCGGTCCCTCAATCCTTGTTATACATCTGCATTCTGACTTCGGCCACCTGTGTTCTAGTTCCTGCCTTGCGTTCTGACTTTCTTACCGTCTGTGTGCTGGTGATCTGGTCTCCATCTCTCTGTATTCTGCATTTAGTGTTCATGTCAGAAAACAGTCTTCAAGCGTTGGTGCTTGGGGCTGGTGGCAACAGTACATTTGGACTATTTTATTTAGTGTTTTAGTATTTTCAATTTTGTTGTCATAAAATTATGTTGTCTAATTAATCATGAGTTGCATGTGACCTTATCATTACGAATTGTCAATTTAAGTTTAGTTAAAGGTCGTGATCTACATGTTATGCATATGTTTAAGCATAGTTTGCCATTGCAAGTACGATCTTATGATCTATGTTATAATCCTACTATTTAGGATCTTTCACCCCTTCCCAATCCTAGGCAGAATTTCAATTTTGACAACAAAGCTTCCAGTCATTAACTACACCCTGCCAGCTAGAGCATCACTGACCTTGTAGTGGGTAAAATTTACTACTATTACAATTCATGAACAAGTTTGTGGTTTTGACCTCCTTAAACTACCACCTATCAAACTCAATTCCACTGGCACACGTTCCTCATCCTCAACAATGAGAGTCAACTATACATCATAGATGAGACATAAGGCAAAAGGCGCCTTATATCTCAATCTTTTTGCATAAATTTTAGCTGCCCAATACAACCTAAGATGGGCTAGTTGCTATCAATCTTCCATCAAAAGTTCAATACTTCCAACTAATCTCTAAGAATGTAAGGTAATTTGTCTACAGGATTATTCCAAAATAAGATTAAAACTTTGAAATAAACTCGCTGACTTGCAGTCACCCCTTCGTCCCTACGAATAAGTACTAAAATCCTATAATTTGCAAAATTCTGAACTCAAAAAATAATTTGAAAAAAAAAAGCTTGTTTAATGAGAACAATACTGGTATTTGGAGAGCAAAACGGCACGATGATAAGCAACGGTGACATTGAATTTGGGGAAAAAAGCACCCCTCCAAGCACCCTTCTTTTTCCACTTTTTGGCGGTCTCATCAGCAACCCTGAGAATGCAGAGAAAAGAAACCAAGAAATTCTCATTGAGCGAGTCCCCAACAAACCCAACATTCTTATTCCTCATCAGACCCAGAAACCGAAACGGGTCAATCCGAGGCAAATGGCAGCCCAGAGGCACCCATTTCCAAGAGTTGATCAAGCTCAGATTTTGCCTCTCGTTTCTGATGCAATTCCAAGCATTTCGGTGGAAGGGGCATGTTTGGTCGTAGAGGGGGCTACGATTGGGATCCAAGACCCAGTGACCTCTGAAAAGGTTGCAGTTGGAGATTGCAAGTGATTGTGAGGTTGCAGAAGAAGAAGAGGAGGAAGATTGGAGAGTGAGAAAGGAAGAGAGTAAATAGAGGGATGCAAGTGTTAATAAGATGAGCCAAGGAAACAGATGTGAAGGAACCTTTGGAGACATTCTCGTCTTCTTCCTTGCAATGCTGCAAGATTGAAATTCATGCTCGGACTCAGAAAGGTGAATACTCCCACACGTATTTTTCTTTTTCTACATTTTCGTACTTATCAATGTAATTTTACAAAGACAACTTATAGATTACGTTATTTTACTATTACTAAATGTTTTGTAAATCTGCAACATACATTCAATGCGAGTTAATTAATATTGAAAAAACATTTCAATTTATGTATTGTTACTTAAAGCTAGACTTCATAATAAGGTTATAAAAAGATTTGTCCCTTTTCAAAATCTAATAACGCTTCTCACTTAAATTAAATTATAATAATTATACCCCTTCAATATAAAAAATAATTATGTGATACTTATGTTAATGTTAAAAATTAAATAAGCCTTATGTTAATAATTTTTTTAATTTATTAATATATTCTTATTTAAACTACAGCTATCTTTTATAAAAATACTTTTACTCGAATTCAAAAAATGATAAAATTGGTTTTTTAATAAAAAAAAATTATGTATATATGATAAAATTTGAACTCATTTTTTTAAAATTAAGTATATATCATTTAAATTAATTGCATTTAATTTTAATTCATTAATATAATCACCCTCTTACAATATTATTTTTCAAAATTAATACCAACATAAATCAATAAAGATTAATTCAAATAATATATACATGGTTTTCTTTAAATCATGTTTGGAGTTCAAATTAATTGCCATAAATGTAAAAAAAAATAGCTGCTTGATGTACATTAATACATAATAATTTTTTAATTTTAAAAAATTATATAATAAAATATAATTTCTTAAATGGAAACAGGCTTAACATAGCATATTAACATGATCTCAAATACGATTTTTTTTAGCAAAATTCAAATACACATCTACTTAGCATAATTTTAAGAGGAAACTATGTTCAAATTTTCATTTTCATTGCTCAAGATAGAAAATAAAATATCAATATAATAATTATATAAAATTAAAAGTTGCAATCTAGAAAAAAGTTCTTAACATGTGCCTAAACAAACAACAACAATAATTATGTACAATGAAAACAGCCATGAATGCATCTTTTACGATCTTCATTGCGTAAGGCATAGAAAGAAACCAGACCCAAAAACAAAAGTTACAAAGTTAATTATTTTTTATCATTCCTTTTTTCTGTAGTGAAAAAAGAAAAACAGTAATTCGACAATAAAAAAAAATAGTTAAACTATCATTTATAAGAGCATTATCCAAAGATAAAAAAAATTAGAAGTTAAACATCTTAACAAGATGAGTTTTTAACGATGTTAATAAATTGATAAATATATTTTAAGTCAATTATTCTAGATTTTCACATTCAATATCAATTCTTTATTTGTGTTAAAATTAAATTTTATTATACTTTTATTCAAGTCATTTAAGTTGTGTTAATATTTCATTATATTTAATAATGAATATGATCGTTTTTAGTTAATGTATCATAAATTTTCAACATATCTTTAAAACGAAAAGATATATTCTCTCTTATCTTTTTTATAAGAAATAAAATTAACTATTTTTTTATAAAAAATATTTAACATATTTGAGATATATTAATTATTAAAAAATTTATATATTTTTTATTATTAAATATATGTTTGCGAGACAATATTATTTAATATTATAAGTATTTTTAAAATAAAATTTATATTTATAAAAATTGTCACTAACTTAATTATTTTTTTAATTATTTAATTATTTTATTTTTTTATATTTGATAAAAAAATATTTCTTATTTTAAATATATTATCCTCTAATCTTAAATGTGTTAATAAATAAAAACAATCAAAACTCAATTTACATGTCATGTTAACATCGATATTGTGATATTTATACAATTTGTTTCTTCAATCAAGTTGTGAGATTTATTAATTAGAACTCTAAAAAACTACTCTCATACATTTAAAACAAAAAATGCTACAAAAATAAAATGCCCTAGAAGATAGTAGGACCAAGTTTAAAATAACAAAATAAAGATGTGGCGAAAAGCCCTTATGTTAAGAGTATTTTGAAATTTTTTAAAAATTTCGTATTTAAAATTAATTATATTAAAAATGTAAAATTGCATTTTTTGGTCAAAACAAAATTAATTTTGAAAACAAAAATTTTATGAACCGTTACAAGCTACCTTGTGTTTAGGACTTATTATTTTTAATTTATTTGAATTTGAATTATAATCAATATTTTAAGATAAGTCTAACGATGGTTGTGTCAAAATAATGAAGATGTAGGAATGAAGCCTAGGATTGATAAAATATCTAAGCAGCAAAAACTTTTGAGAAATGCTCCAAAGCATTTAAAGTTTTGAGATATTAGAGATCACAATTATAATAATACGAAGAATTAATAATGTAACAAAGAACATTTTGAACTAAATGTCATTCTTATTGAAATGGGCCACACACACAGCAACAATTCAACGAAAAGGAACGAACGAGGGGAGGAATTTTAAAACACAGTGATTAGCACACTGCAAACCCAATTTCTTTGCAGCTTCCTTTCATGGGTAATAATGATTTTTTTAATATATATTAATAATAATTTTGTAACTTATCATTGTTATTCCTCCACTCCATGTTCCACGATAATAATAATAATTTTTTTAATATATATTAATAACACATATTAAAAGTTTAAAAATAAAATATTTATTATTTAAATTTCTTTAAAACATTTAATATATATTTTTATGATAGTTTAAAATATTTAATCATTTTTAATAAAATTTTAGTTTAAAAATTATTATTTTTATTTGATTTTTAATTTTTAATAAGTCTTTTAAAAATAATTTTTATACTATTTTTCTATAAATAGTTTATTTTTTAATATTCATATAATTCCTAATGTGAATAATGATGTGATATTTTTATTATATTTTTAAATATTAATTTTAAAAATTCTAATTTTATAACTTAAAAATTTATTCAAAAACATAAAATATACACTATTATTAATCATGATTTTTTTTCCTTTTAAGTGTCAGTCAACTTATAAAAATTAATTATACGAATAATTATATAAACAAATAACGAAATACATTAATAAATTATTGAAAATTAAAAAATATTTTTTTTCAAAAGACAAAATTAAGAAATTAAAAAAAGTTAAAGTTTTATCCAAGCCTTCAATAATTTTGAACAACTGTTACGGACACAACTAAGAAACCGATAATAATAATAATAATAATAATAAAGTAACAAAATATGTGGAAAAGGACTTGTCCAGCGTAAGAATGCGTAGAATCTGGCAATGAAAATAGATAGCACTAACAAGTTGGCACTACTGTATGAGTGACAGAAGGAGCGAAGAAGAAAAGAGAATAAAAATAAGAGAAAAGAACAGCCTCACCTCACCAGTCACCACAAATATTCGATCGATCAAGGGGTTAGGGGCAGGTTGCGCGGAAGGAAGAGCATGGATTGCGGTGCAGGTCCGAGTCTGTTTCCGCTGCATCGTTGCAAAACCATTCACCTGGTTGGTAATATAACTCACTCTCTGTGCTGTGCTGTGTTGTGGTTATTATGAATCATTTTTTGAATGAAGTGAAATGATGTAGAAGGTGGTGGTTTATGCTATTCAGGTGAGGCACGCGCAGGGGATCCACAATGTAGAGGGAGACAAGAACTACAAAGCTTATATGAACCCCCTTTACTTCGATGCTCATCTTACTCCCTTGGGATGGCAACAGGTCTTTCTTTTTCTATTTCTATTCCCAAAACCATCCCTTCTTACTCTATTCTAATTTTTTATCTCTCTTCGCTCACAGGTTGACAATTTGCGTAAGCATGTTCGTGCCTCTGGCCTTATAAATAGGATCGATCTCGTCGTTGCGTCTCCTTTGTTGAGGTTTTCCCTTCGCAATTAATTAATCCCTCTAATACCTTTCTCTGTGTTCCTTTACAAGCCGTGAAAAGTACTTCATTTTTTTGTTTGTTTGTGGATGCATCTGTGGATTTTTGTCTTGTTTAATAATGTGGGTAATCTTCGGGAACGGATTGAAGATTCATTCAAATTTAGGGGAGTTTGGTGATCGAGCTTGTAACTTTATGATTTACTAATATAGATGTAGCTTTGTTGGATTTTCAGCGTATTCTTGTATGATGTGTTTGATGGATATACAATTTGATCCCAGAAAGTACCACATTTTTTGCTTTGGTTCCTAAACAAATTGGTTCCTTAAGTGACACTGACAGCTTCATAGTAACTTAATCCTCTCGTCAATCAGTGATAAACTAAAGCGCAATATGTAAAATGTTAAGTACACACCTCTGTTGTTATTTGCCAACTAAGTTGCTCACTTGGGAATCCTTACGGAATGCTGTTATTTTGTATGCTCAGAAAAGACTGAAATCGCCAAATGCCATTCCAACAAACATCTTTGATTCATTTAGATTACCAAATCTCTCTAACCAACTTAACGATATCATTTGGGAATTCCACGTAGGCAATCTAGTTGACGCACAATGTTGCATTTGTATGAAACATTGAATCAATGCTTTTGGTATGTCTCATTGGCACTGACTGATGGAAGGATTCCCTTGATATGAAGTTGTCAATTTTGGGGACCAATTTGTATGAGCACTATAGGGAACCAGAACTACACAAGTGTTACTTCTATGGACCAAATTGTATTTAACTCCAATGTGTTTTTTTCTCTCATGAGTGAATGAATATGGGATCCTAGAGGTACATAAGATACATTCTGCTTGTGAAAAATACTTTTTAACTGTGTTGAGGCAGATGACAGTCTTTGACTTGCGTGGTACAATTTGTGGCTTTAGGACTCTACAAACAGCTGTTGGAGTATTTGGCGGTGAGGGCTACACTGATAAAACAGATGTGCTTCCTCTTATGCTGGCAAATGCTGGAAATAGCTGTCGTGCTGCAATTTCAAGTCTAAATTGCCCACCAATTGTTGCTGTTGAACTTTGTCGTGAACATTTGGTATGCCTTCTTTTTACCTGTTTCAGGAGGGAGAGTACATCATGTTACTACATGTACTCTAGTTAAGAAGTTCCAATCTTCCATTTTAACATGGCCTATTCTTGTGTATTGATCATAAAAATCTTTTAGTCTCAAGATAATGCTTGCATTCCCATCGTTAATTTGGAATCTTAATTCTTAAGGGTGAGGGGGGATTCAGAAATTTGCTACTTCACCGCTGACAAACTTGAAAATTTATCCTGCAATTCATGTTATGTGCCAAAAATGGAGGATGGAACTAAAGTATCTGAGTATGTATAAATTCAGAGCTACTAACCAGAATGACTAGTTAGATCAAATCCAAATTCCTTTTTTTATTTGGTAGTCTTGCTTAAGTTTTAGTTATAGGTGGGTTTGGAAAGTCATTAGGATATGAATTACCTTTTAAAATTCTCTAGATGCTGCCATAGGAGGTTGAACTTTAGCCATGATGAACATATATTGACTAGACCTCCAGATGTTTTGTATGTGTGCTGACCAAAATGAAACCAAAAGAAATTGATATCAAAAGTTGAAGAAAAGAAGAAGCCTTGGGTATGCATAGCATACACATCTTTGTCCAACTACAACCAGTACCTGTACTTAATACTTACCTAGTACAGGTATGACAACCATTTAAAAGTACCCTTGCGCCATAATCGATCAACTACCAATAATCAGTTTGATGGTGTGAACAGAAATTATTGAGCAGTGATCTAACTACAGTTCACTGAATGCTTGAGGCATAAAAATAGTGAATGAAAATATCACAGTTAAATCTGCATTTCAGCCTTTCAGGTGCATATACATTACTAATAAAATAAGAAGTGTGCAACCAGTTCATGCATTTGCTGCCTTTTCATTTTCTTTTCTCCAACTACTATCAAAAGTTTACCTTATATGAGCAAAGACAACTTTAGTACATTTTTTTCATAAGGCTCCTTAAGCTTGATATTAACATTGACACATGGAGCATGGACCTTATAAATTTCTCCAATTGTTTTTCCTAATGCAGGGAGTTCATCCCTGTGACAGAAGAAGAAGTGTTAGCGAGTATCAGTTTCTTTTTCCTGCTGTTGATTTTTCGCTGGCAAGTGCTTTGAGACTTCAAGTGTCTGAATGCTTGTGGTTTATGATCTAATAGAAGACAGATGTTCCTTTCTTTAGATGTAAAAAGTTGGCCAAGATTTAATTTGTTCTCTTTGGGTTTATGTTAGTCTCAAGTTCTTGTTTCAGATAGATAGTGACGAGGATTCTTGGTGGAAGGCCAATGTTAGAGAGACAAAGGAAGAACTTGCAGCTAGGGGGCTGAAGTTCCTAAACTGGTATGAGTTTGTTACCATCAGAAACTTCTGATGTTTCTTTTATGAATTTGTTATGTCAGTAATACTATATATGGGAAACACACTCAAATTGAGCTTTAATGTATACCAAGTTAATATAGCTCTACTGTGTACGACTCTTTGCAATAGAAAGATAAAATAAACTTATCTTTATTCTTTACTAAAATGTATGTCTATATTTTAAGAAGTTTGCTATACATAGCAGAGTATGTGTTAAATGTAATTAAAACTGCTCAAAAAGGCCATCAGCCTGCGCCACTGAACTAACTTGTGTTGTGAGCCTTGAAATTGGAAGATCAGTTCATTTGCCTGATTCTTTCATCTAATATTTCAGCAAGTTGTTCTCTATTCATTTCGATCACTAGGTTTTTGTCTCACTTTGTGAGAAATATGTTGATGTCTAATTGTGCTGCTTTTTTGTGGCTATCAGAACTGATATATTATTGGTATAAATTCCGATATCGAGTAATTTAGTAGAAGAATTATGTAATTCTCAGTTCAGGAAAAAAGTATTCATTTTCCTTTTTTTGTTTGACACCTTGTCACTTTTATGTATGGAACTTGAAATTGCCATCAAATGTGATGTAATTCAAATCTGAGGCTCTGTCTTTACTTTTCACTTCATCACAGGTTGTGGACACGGAAAGAGAAGGAGATAGCAATTGTGACACATAGTGGATTCTTGTTTCATACACTTAATGCATTTGGAAGTGATTGCCACCCCTTGGTAAAGAAAGAAATATCCAAACAGTAAGCTCTCAATCACCTCATGCCTCTGACCTAGTTATTTGTGATTCACTTCCCTCTAAGCTAACTGAGTTGAATATGCATGATTTTTTGAGAAAATATCTGTCTCTTTCCTTCGGGAAATACATCTTACATTTATTCCTGTTATGTCCATTTGTTAAAAAGAATTATTACTGGTTTTGCTGTCGCTTATCTATCTTAGATATGTAGAGTGCAGTGTGAGTGCCATATTTTGTTCTTGTTATGTGAGGCATGTGTTCTTACTTGATAGCATGTAGTTTGATGCGGTGCTCTAGATTCTACAATTTGGGATCATTTTTCTGATACTGTTAAACATGATTGCAAACCTAGCTGATACTGAGAGCTATTCATCAGTTTATATTGAAAGTACATCATTGACTCATTTCACATATCCTTGCAGTTTTGCCAATTGTGAGCTTCGCTCCATGGTCATTGTGGATAGAAGGTGAGTTTGCAAATACAACCTATACAATATTTTTTGAAAAAATTAGCAGGCTTCTTTCATCTCAATCAGAATTTATATAATTTGTTTTTCCTCCCAGTATGATAGGATCGGGGGTATCAGCTACTAACTATCCAGGCAAGATACCTTCAGGGCTGGACCTGCCTAGTGATGTTGCCGATGAGAACTCTGAGAAATAGGGGTTCGTTCTTCTGCTTGTTGTATGTTTAGTTTCATTTAAACATTGAACTGCTGGGACATGATCATTACTATCTGAAGATTATGACTCTCTCAAATTCTAACTCGATTATTTCAGATTATACAAACTGTGTGCTGATTGTGTTGTCAGAAGAAAATATTTTCTGGGAAATATCTGTTGAACCATATTTTGGAAATCAGATGACCCGAATGTGGTAATAGAGTCACAAAAACTTTTAGTTGATGAAGGAAGACGTGTTACCTCACTCGTTTTCAACAGTGTCATTGTTTAACCAAATTTTGGTTTTAAAATTAATTTTTATTAAAATTAGCTACGTATCATTTTAGCAGTGAATTGCATATAAAGTCATTTCGGGTCATACTTTCCATTATTAAAAGAAACACTGGCCTTTTCTTTTCACTTTTCAACTCAACAAGCTAAGGGAAAAAGAAAACAAACAAGTAGAGACTGACAATTATTAAAGACTGCAAATTTTGAATTTTCATCCCTAATTTGACAGTGTATAATTTAATTTTTTTTTATTTTTAAATAATACGTGTGTTCAAGAATTAAAAAATCTAATTGGAATTGAATCTATGAGACTTTCACATCCTGGTTTAATTATTTAAATTTGTTATTGATTGTAATTAAAGTGAATAGTATTCAAATTAAAACACAAAATTGGTAAGTATATCAACTGTGTAGAATATTTATCTCAATAAACACTTACAAGCAAGTATTGACCTCATTAATTGCGATAAAGTTTCCTCTAGAATAAATAAAAAATATCTTTAACAAGCAATTATTTTTTGTTTAAAATTTTACTTTTAGGAATTTTAAAGAATACTAAAAGAGCAAAATCAATGATAAAAATGCCATGGTTTGATTTTGATTGATTATTTTTTTAGCTAAAGTTCAAATTACCTAAAATGATTACAAGTCAAATTCCTTTTATAAAATTTTATCTAAATCCTATTAAAAATGAACAGGCCCTACTTATCAAAATAAGACTCTAATTAACTAAATAATGATATGAAACTTTGAAAGTTAAATAAGTTCAGACAGTAAGTTATTTATTTCCAACTTAATAATTAGAAGCCATGATACATAGGTGACAAAATATTTAAGCATTTGTAGAATTAAAATTAAATTTATAATATCATGGTTTAATTAAGTATGAATTAATATTATACATATCCATTAGAAGAGTTAGATTTAATTTGATATATCATATTTTATGTTTATATTTATAGTTTTATTTTTTATTTATAAACATTTTTTATTTGTTTTATTTTTAAGATTTTTATCATTTTCTAGTTATTTGAATAAATTGAACTTGTTACAAATAAATGTTTTAATTTTGTATTTTTGGTTATTTTGATCTTTGACTACTCTTTTGACCATAACTTTTTTTACAAATATCGTTTTTAGTTGATTCCAGTTGCATTAGATTTTGCACATTCAATGTTTCAAAATGCATATATGGATTGTTGGATTTGGAGTCATTTTCAATTTTTTATGATTTTTTTAAAGTTGAAACAAATTTGTTGAATCTTGTTGTGATATTGCATTTGGACTCTTATTATTTAATAATTGTATTTGGTATTTTAGATATTGTAGAGGCCCAAATTTTGACCATTTAATTTATCCTAATTAGAACCTATAAATAAACTAATAAAATTCTGAATTAGTGTGTGAGATTAGACATTGTGACTTTTTGAGATTTCACCGTTAATAAAAATATTTATTTTTATCTTCTTTTCAAATTTTCTTATTCTCACTAGGGTTAAGTGCTTTGATGGAAAGTTAAATCTCTCATTCAACCCGTAAAATTCAGATTGTGTCAATCTAATTTGAGTTTTGAGCCAAATTACTTTGAGTTTATTTTTCTTTTTTTCAATTTCTAATTTGTATATTGCGATTGTGATTAACTTTTATGTGGTTAAAATTAAAATTAAGATTCAATTGATATTTTTATTTGATAATTAATTTATATTAGGTTAAATGATAAATTGATTTAATTCGTGATCTAGTTTAATTAGGTTATTTAGTTGAATTAATAATTAGATTGGGTAATTGTTCAAATTCAGATTAAAACCTCTAGATACTATGATAATCGAATTGAAATTACACGCATTTAAGATTTTATGGATTGATATTTCTTAAATTTATTTTTATTTATGTTAATTTCATTCGTAGTTTTAATTTAATTGATTCGAAGTTTTCAAACTTCAAACTTTACTTGCATTATTAAAAAACTTAAAATTAAATTTAACTGAATATGTGTCTCTGTGAATCGATCTAAGTCAAGTTTTATATTGCAAAATTTTTAGAGAAAATTAGTTGTTTGATAGCGACTCGCCATTATCTATCAAATTGGTGTTGTTACTAGATCGCTATCAAAACAACTAAGTTTCTCTAAGAATTTTACGGTATAGAGCTCAGCTTAGATTGATTCACATAGACATATATTTAGTTAAATTCAATTTTAGGTTCTTTATGTGAGTAAAGTTTAGGAGTTTGAAAACTTCAAATCAATTAAATTAAATTACAAACACAATTACTTGAATAAAAATAAATTAAAAATTATCAATCCACAGAATCTCAAATGCATATAATTCTGATTATCACAGTATTTAAATATTTTAATATGAATTTAAACGATTACCCAATTTAATTATTAATTCAATTGAATAACCTAATTGAATCAGATCACGAATTAAATCAAATTATTATTTAACCTAATTCAAATTAATTATCAAATTAGAATATCAATCGAGTACTAATTTAAATTCTAACTACCGAAAAGTCAATCACAATCGTTATACACAAATATGATATTAGAGAAAAAGAGAATAAACTCGCAACAATTGGCCCAAAACTCAAATCATATTTATACATATAGATTCCTTGGATTGAATGAGAGGTTTAGCCTTCTATTGAAGCACTTAACTCAAACAAGAATGAGAGAATTCGAAAAAAGGTAAAAATAAGGATTCTTACTAAAGGCTAAATCTCAAAAATTCAAAGTGTCTAATTGCATATCCTAATTTAGAACCTTATTAGTTTATTTATAGGTTCTAATTAGGGTAAATTATATGGCCAAAATTCGAGCATCAACAATATCTAAAAGCTCAAATACAATTATTAAATAATAAGGGTTCAAATGTAATCTCGCAATAAGATTCAGCAAATCTGCCTCAACTTTAAAAAATATAAAAAATTGAAAACAATTCCAAATCAAGCGATCCATACATGCATTTTGAAGCCCTAAATATGTAGAATCCAATGCAACTGTAATCAGACAAAAAAATATATCTATAGAAAAAATTATAGCCAAAAGAGTAGTCAGAGGTCATAATAATAAAAAATACAAAATTAAAACATTTATTTGTAACAAGTCTAATTTATTCAAATAACTAAAAAATGGTAAAAATCCTAAAAATAAAGCATATAAAGAATGTTTAAAAAGTAAAATAAACTATAAATGTAAACATAAAATATGAAGACATTATGTAGTATAGCATTTCTAATGTTAGAGATAAAATTATCAAATTTATAACACTATTGGTCAAAATTGAACTAAATATGTAGTATAACATTTCTAACATCCGATATAAAATCAAATTAGAATTTATATTATCTTATTTCTAACAATTGACATACATTTTTTTTCTTTGTTGCATCAAAATTTTAACAAATTTTATAACAATATTTTTAATACATATTTCAATTACATTTGATATTTTAAAATTAATCATATTATAATTATTTTTGAATCCTTAAAACTTGGTTAATAATTATATTATTCTTTTTTTATTGCAAAATCCTCACACTTTTCTTAAACTAAATAATTTAATGGTCAAACAATAATAATAAATATAATAATCGTCACATTTAATATTTTAATATTAATTAAAATATAAGTTAGATATAATAAACCAACTCAAATCGTTGTTATCATAAAGGATTTCATCCAATTATTTATTGAGATTAGCCAAAAGTTTCGCCATTACTTTTGATGTTTAAATTTGACTTGTGTTGAGCTCATGATGACATGGAATTAGCCATACGCATGCACATCAGTTACTTATACGAGATTATCTATTGAGAAACAAACCAATGTTGTATAGTAAGTAAGTGCTAGCATATAAACATATTCCACTCTTCATTAGTTAAGGATTAGCTTTTCAAAATATTGTCTAGAGACACTTTTGATTTAATGCTTGCTTATTTTGATCTGGTGTAAGTCTTTTGAAAGAATTCTTAATACTTTGGCTATGGTTTAGAATTTTCTCAAATTCTTCTATGGCTAAAGCCATATGAAAATCTTAAAATGTAAAGCATTAAAAAATCATAACACTTTCAAAAGATTCAATTTATATTTATTTCTTTTTTTTTGTCGCAAAAGTCGTCACACTTTTCTTAAACTAAATTAATAAATATATTTTAATATATTATTTTTTTCACAAAAATTGTTAGACTTTTTTAAAACTAATCATGATTTAAACAAAAAAAATTATAAAATTGGGAAAAAAAAATAACTAAAGGTTATTGATATTGATTGTTTTATATATTTTTTTAAAAAAATATAATCACCATAAGATAGATAGATTTATATCGGTACATATTTTTTTTAATTCAAGAGATGATATGTGCTTAATTTAGACATAAAATTTCATATAATAACTAGTTAATTCAAGAGATGATCAATTTCTTTGTTGGCAATTAACACATCATTTTTAATGATGTTGATCTCAACTTTAAATTTGACATCAGTTGTTATTTACTATAATTTTTCTACATTGATTTTTTTTCATATGCTGCTACTATGTCTATTATTTGTGGTTGGAATTCAACTATCTTCCCCTACATTTTCTCTACCTAAGGTTTCTTTTTAGTTGTTGTTTTTGACACTTATTAAAAAGTTTCTTAAATGTCAATTTTCAACCAAAACAATATCTCTGTCATGTTCAATCCTCCAGCAGCATCAAGACAGACTTTGAACTTTTGCATAATGATTACCTTTAAACATTGTCTAACTAAGAATTTTTTCATAACTATGTTCTTTTTTTTTTATTTTTCTTGTTTTGTAGGATGACACGTGTCTAGTTAGCTTT